ACGTAAAAATATAATGACTACTAACCAAGATAAATAGGTTAAGACTTAGAATATTATCCTTTGTAGATGTTGATTATGTTTAAAATCCAGGCAGGGCTATCCATCCAGACTTGATCTGTGTGCATGCATACTTCCACAAGTACATGTAAATGGTGAATGGACCCTACTTGTATCTGTTTTATAGTGTTCTAACCACTCTAGACAACACAACACATTTATCTCTTAAACGGCAGTGCATTTAATAAATTACATTATCTCCCAAAGAAGACTAACCACCGCCACAATATGACTGATATGACACCCATTACTTCAGAGATTTTGATGAACTCCCCTAAAAGAAATGAATCAACGGAATAGCGTTTTAATGAGAAGACAAAAAGACTTTGAATTCCATATGTTTAAGTATAACGTTACCTTCAGGGACGGCGTGGGGCCACTTTTCAGCCGGTAAATTTCAGGCCCAAGACCGACCCACTTTTTCTATGGATAAATGAAGCAAGAGTTCAGTTCTTACTATCCTGTAGTTTTTTTTATTAATACCATGGTTCAACCAATAATGTAAAGGGTTAAATAATACACTTAAGCTGAAAAGTTAACAAAAAATATTCCACTATTCCACAAGGATAGATTGATAAATTAAAAAAAGAATAAATAAATAAAGCATTTGAAACCTATCCCACTCAACAAAGAGGCATATTGAACTAATGTTTACAGTTCAACTCAGATACAACCGTTTGAATGATACAAATAATAATCATTACTCATGTTTATTTCCACCAATTCACAAATTGTTAATTGACTGCATAAGGAATGAACATAACCGTGCTAATGAAACAGATGTGTTTCGGGCATGGAAGAAGTCGACACAGATACTGATCTTCTCAGCATTTATTTGGTCTTGCAGAAGACAATAAAACACAGACATTGCCTTCTGGTCTCTCTGCACATCAGCTCCCTAGACACAGGATCTTCAACAGAGTAACATTTCTGTGAAGGAAAAACGGGACTCTGCAAAATCTAAATTATAACTTGTCAAAGATCCAAATCCAAACTTTGAATCTGTATTTGAGGTATTTGAGCATTACACAAATAGGATCAAAGAACACATGTATTTTTAATACGATTGAAAATGATTGACACTTTTGTGTAATCCTAAAATGACTAAGTATTCAGGAAAAAGAGTCTCTGATCAGCTGGCAGACCATCCTATGCTTCAATTTAATAACCATCTGATTTTTGAGAAGTGAGGAGACATTACAACCTGGGATGGCATTTCAAAAGAGGTTACCAAGCAACGGGATCCATTCAGCTCTATATGGAGATCATTACAGGCATTCACTCTACTCCCAAAGGAAGATTGAATCGTTTGTTCAGATTCAGATGAGATGCAAAGGCCTTTTTCAGATTGCTTAGTGAAGCAGGGGTCTATGAAGGCATTTAACAAGGTGACTAAATCACTGCTCAGAGGTGGGAGGTGGAGGGAAACAGTTGAAAAGTGTAACAAGGGAGATGTGGAGAAGACTATGTGGGGCCACAGTCAGAGCCTTTGGACATATTTATTACAGCCTCAAGTCTTCTTGGGTATGATTCCACATGCGTGGCACACCTATTTCTGGGCAGTTTCTCCCATTCTTCTTTGCAGAACCTCTCAAGTTCCATCAGGTTGGATGGGGAGCGTCGGTGCACAGCCATTTTCAGATCTCTCCAGAGATGTTCAATCGGGTTCAAGTCAGGGCTCTGGCTGGGCCACTCAAGGAAATTCACAGAGTTGTGCTGAAGCCACTCCTCTGTTATCTTGGCTGTGTGCTTCGGGTCGTTGTCCTGTTGGAAGATGAACCATCGCCCCAGTCTGAGGTCCAGAGCGCTTTGGAGCATGTTTTCATCCAGGATGTCTCTGTACATTGCTGCATTCATCTTTCCCTCAATCCTGACTAGTCTCCCAGTTCCTCCCGCTGAAAAACATCACCACGGCATGATGCTGCCACCACCATGCTTCACTGTAGGGATGGTATTGGCCAGGTGATGACCAGTGCCTGGTTTCCTCCAGACATGTCACTTGGCATTCAGGCCAAAGAGCTCAATCTTTGTTTCATCAGACCAGAGAATTTTTTTTCTCATGGTCTGAGAGTCCTTCAGGTGCTTTTTTGCAAACTCCAGGCGGGCTGTCATGTGCTTTTTACTGAGGAGTGGCTTCCGTCTGGCCACTCTACCAAATAGGCCTGATTTGTGGAGTGCTGCAGAGATGGTTGTCCTTCTGGAAGGTTCTCCTCTCTTCATAGAACAACGCTGGAGCTCTGTCGGAGTGACCATCGGGTTCCTGGTCACCTCCCTGACTAAGGCCCTTCTCCCCCGATCGCTCAGTCTGGCTGGGCTCTAGGAAGAGTCTTGGTGGTTCCAAGCTTCTTCCATTTCCGGATGATGGAGGCCACTGTGCTCATTGGGTATTTCAATGCTGCAGAAATCTTTCTGTACCCTTCGCCAGATCTATGCCTCGATACAAGTCTCGGAGGTCTACAGATAATTCCTTGGACTTCATGGCTTGGTTTATGCTCTGATATGCACTGTCAACTGTGATACCGTATATATACAGGTGTGTGCCTTTCTCAATCATGTCTAAGCAACTGAATTTAGCACAGGTGGACTCCAATCAAGTTCTAGAAACATCAGTGGTAACAGGATGCACCTGAGCTCAATATTGAGTGTCATGGCAAAGGCTGTGAATACAAGTAATGTTTTCATTCTTTATTTTTAACAGATTTTCAAAAAATTGCAAAAAACTGTTTTCACTTTATCATTATGGGTTGTTGTGTGTAGAATGTTGAGTAAAATAATGAATTTAATCCATTTTGTAATATGGCTGTAACATAACAAAATGTGGAAAAAGTGAAGCGCTGTGAATACTTTCCGGATGCACTGTATGTGCATTCCGCCCATGAACTAATTTCTCATCACCGTAGGTTTCCACAAGCTGTTGTTGCTTCATTACCTTTATTATAGTACATTTTGAGAGTGTAGCTTTGGAGGGAGGGATGAGTTTGAATTGGATTCCAATTCAATGACATGGATTACAATGGATATCATGTATACAGTACAATACATTAAATTTTGGAAAATATATTCAAATATTGCGAGTAGTACGGCGGGACAACTGAATATCAGATATAACCACCATCCACAGAAGCCTGTGGGGAAGGAAAGCACAAAGACTTTAGGAGAGGGCATGTTGGTTTATAAAGGCAGTAATAGTAATGTGATTATCAACAATAAGGAACAGCTACCATGTCATCTACATCAAAGAAAAACTGTAATGTCATCAACCTCAAAGAACAGCTGTGTTGTCATCTACACCGAGAAACGGTGATGTCATCAACAGCTTTGATGTCATCATTTTAAAGAACAGCTTTGTTGTCGACTACATCATAGAACAGCTGTGATGACATGAAAATCAAAATAATAATAATGGACCCGAATCCAGACGGAACCACAATCTATGGAAGCATAAAATCTCAGGGAAAGAAGCTTATTAGTGATGTGCATCAATGACATGCAAATTATTATAGAGTGAGAGTGAGAGAGAGGAGGTTGGTGTGTCCTAAGTCCCTCGGCAGTCTAGGCTTATAGCAGCTTAACTAAGGGCTGGTCCAGGCTAACCTGAGCCTTATTTTAAATGAGCTGACCGTGTCTTCCCCTCAGACTGAAAGTGGAAGCTGCATGAAGAGGGCTGCGGATCAGAGGTGATGGCCAGCTCCAGCATACCAGCCGGGCTAGAAAGTCAGGTTCACTTCACTGAACTTCCTGCTCCATGTCGCTTTTCAGAAAGTTGGCTTCCAAGGTCGTGGGTCCATTTCTTGTGTCCAAAGTAATTAACCCTGTCTCTGTCAAGTCTCCCCAGCTCTCTGAGGGTGCACCCCACCGTTCATGTAGTAAAGCTCAAACCGGTTAAGGAGAGCCCTGTGGTTACCGCATCTGCACCCCACCGGTATACCTTGTTAAAAGACTCTTGGCAGTACGCACCCGTGGAAGAGGACGCTAGAGCCTGGAAGAGCGGTCTGGAGTCAGTAGACACCACGTCAATGTCGATTGAGGATTTTTAGGCATTGCAGCTGTCAGTTGGCTATGTGTCCTTGCTCAAGCTAAATTGTGAGACACAATTGGCTACAGCGACTGTCCTAGTGAAGAGAGTGTCCTCGTTCCCCTCTCACTGTAAGGACCAGCTATTGGCCTGTTTCCACACTAGCTGAAGTGCTCTCGCTCGAGCCAACTGGTGGGACACAAATATCTGCAGCAAAATATCCTAGTGAAGGCAGTGTCACTCCCTCCTCACTGCAAAGAATGTACATTAGGTGACAGTGCTACTGAAAACATGTGTAAATCATGTGTGAAACAAATTATTATTTAAATCTTTATTTTTCTAATTTCTTTTGCAAAAACTACTCGTGGAGATCACCTCCCGCTCAACCCGTATTAACAGAACTCTTAAATCATTTTTTTTTGAGTGCTTGTGCTTCAGTTACCACCAACTCTGAGGGCACCAATAATTTCACTGTAACAGTGCGTGGTTATCAACACTGATCTTTGTGATATGGACTAGTTTTGCATTGAGGATCAATTCTATAGAAATAGGCGAGTCTTTCACTAAATATCTGAATATTACCTATTTGAAATCTGTGCAAATCTCACAGGCCCAGCAAGACGCCATATAGTTCTCACCATAGTTCGGGGATGCAAACGGATGTATGGTCAAAAAAAGAGAGCGGTAGTTGAAGCCCTCGCCCCACGGAAAATATCCATATACTTGATCTGGACCACGTGGTCCATGTGGGTGTGCATTTCACCATTTGTGGGTAGTGAGGAATTAAAATTGCTTCTTTTCTTGGTCTTAAATAAGACCATAAAAGCCTACATAACCCATTTGGGAACGTTCACTCAGTGTTTGTGCATGTGTGTGAGACTCGTGTTCTTAGTTTGCAAAAGATCAGAAAAATACGGTATTCCCATAATGAAAAGATAAAAACATGCAAAAACATTTTAATTTGTGATCCAAATTACACATATACAAGGATAAGGATAGTAGCATGTCATTTTTCAGAGACCACAGCCAAAAGAACGACGAGAGAAAAATACAATCTGTACATATATCAGTTTACAGTGAGTAGCCATTTGGAGAGTACCAGATGACACTAAGGCAAAATTATCAGCAGGCAAAAGAAATGCCTTTTTTGTCCACCACAGCAGAGTATCAAGAAGTATTGCTGCTACAAAACAAGAACCAATATCTCCCTCAGTTAACAATTGGCTGCATAAGTTACATAGTGATGAAAGCAAAAACTTGAAACTGAAGGAATCTATTCAAGGTCTACCATTACTGTGCATGTCTTACTAGCTTTGGAACACTGAAATGGCAAAAATATGCAGCTCCTTTGTACAGTCCTGGGTCTGACCCACGTCTGCTTCCCACCAAGGGAAACTGACCACAACACTGTCAAAGGCCTTACCATTGGCATTGCTTATTACCCATTTATTTCAAAGATATAGGTAATTATTACTAATATTGTGAATTTGTGGTTATAACAAGTAACCTACTGGCACAAATATTACGGTTTTATTGTTTTTACTGGATGCATACTATGAAATAATGCGTATTCAGTTCAGCAGATGTTCTCATTGAAGGTACCGGGTGAGGTATGTACACAAAGAAAGGGTTACATCTATTCTCCCAAAACACTATCAATTTGAAATGTAAGGTAAAGAGTCAAGGAGAATAATATAAAAGATTTGACAATGTAAACTCTTTGCAGATTTCATCACATGTATGAAGATATTGTGTTTTTCTGTTCTTTTTCTTTCATACAAGTGAAACTCTTACACTTTGAAATGATAATGATCTGATTCTCGCTCTACATGGATCTCATATTTCACCCCTTGCCACTTGCTTCCCCTTGTTTTGTCGTCTTGCAAATAAACTAAACTACATAATATTCTAACTCCCAATTCCAAAGTCCTCCAACGACATAACTACAATGTTTAAACTACACTGGCAAATATTTCGGCTCATAAAAAACAAATCAACATTCAGGGAGAATTGTATTTAAATGTGGTGGTGCTGCTAAAAGACCCCTGCTTTCTGCAGGCTTTATCTATGTTGCAGATGTTTAAAAACAGATATGTATTTGTATGAGCCTGGGGTTTATGCTGCACCTGCACAGTCTTTAAAATATTATATATGGGATGACACCGGCCATGATCAGCTAAGTCTTGTGAGTAGGTTACTAATCAAAAGACCAACCTAAATATGTAAATGTAATTCTGCTAACGTCTGAGATTGGGATTGCAGTTGCCATTTTTACGATTGACAGTAAAAAAAGGTAACACCCAGAGCTGTACAAGTAAAGTCATGTTTTTGCCGGCAGGATCATACAGGCGTCTCATTATACCGTATATTCCGGACTATAAGCCGCTACTTTTTCCCCCCACATGAACCCTGCGGTTTATACAACAATGTATCATTTTATAAGGGCTAACACGCGAGAGCGAGACAAACGTGTGCAAGAGATAATGCGCCGAGGAAGAGGCTTGATTATGTTTCAAACAGCCATTTTGCGCATCATATTCAAACACTCGTCATGGAAAATATACGTAGGAATGCATATGATGCAGCATTTAAGTTACGGGCAACCAATCTGGATGTCGTAGAAGGAAACAGAGCGGCTGCACGTTAACTTGGCATCAATGAATCAATGTGAAGAACTTACTCGAAAAAGACGGCAAACATTTTCAGAGGAAATAAAAGCAGATGGCTTGAACTTGAAAACGTTCTTGAAGACTGGGTAAACACAGAGAGCAGACGGCCGAGGTGTTTCCACTGTGCAGATCCGACTGAAAGTCAAAACAATCGCCACCAAAAAGATTGAAGATTTTAGAAGGGGGACCATCGTGGTGTCTCCGATTTATGAGAAGAAAAGGCCTGTCCACGACTCTGTCAGCAACTCCCTCCTGACTACGAGGAAAAAGTTAGGAGGAAAAAAACTCTTTGTGTGTATTATCTTTCTGTGTAAATATCTCATGTTACAACGTGGACACCTGCAGCTTATAGACAGGTGCGGCTTATATATGTACACATTCTTTTAAAATTTAAGTGGTGCGGCTTATAGACAGGTGTGCTCTATAGTCCGGAAATTACGGTAGGTTTTGCCCTTTTGTAGTGTCCATCCTTTGTGTCACTTTGGAAATGACTCGCACAGACAATCAAACATACAGCTAATGAAGTGGAGCCCAAACACACACGCGCGCTCATTATCATAGCAAAGTCCTCCTCTAGTCGCCGTCCCCAAAACACCAGGAGCTTTTAAAGCAACGCATAGAATCAAGACTGAACACAACCAAAATAATGTACAAAAAGGCACATTTGACCCCAGTGCTCCTGTAATGAGAGATTCAAGTGTAAAGGAGTGTAGCATGGCTGTCGTAGCTCTTTGCCGCCGTGGAGACAACCAGTCCTCAGTACACTGCTCACGCGTGTTAGCACTGGGGCTAACGCTCAGATAGTGTTGTCCATTAGCCTGAACTGCTAGGCCAGGAGTCCAAATGGTCTCCATTATCATCAAACCGTCGTCAAGTGGACAGCCCGTTTCTTTACAAGCTAAACCGTGGTGATGCCCATCCAATATCCCCATAATATTTGTGTGCTCAACCCCACCCGACCCAACTGAGCCCTGGAGCAATAAACGGTGGGGTGGGGGAGGGTGTTGAGGAGGTCTAGTCGTCCCCTCCACCGTACAGGTCGGCCAGCTTGCGAAAGCGCGGCCCCCACTCTCCCAGGTAGTCATAGTTCTGGTCGCCGCTGCTCGAGAAAGAGTGCAGGGAGCTGAGGGAGCCGGCGTCGGAGCCGCTGCCCTCGTAGTCAAACACCAGCAGGGAGTCATAGGGGGGAGCGGTGGGGTCGTTGTCCGCTGCCTTCAGGCCCTGCAGATCGGAGTGTGAGCAAAGAGAAGTTTGGGAAAAAAAGACAATTGATGGTGAATCACTACGAGATGTATGATTTTTAATTGCGCATATAAAAAGATTCCAATTCTAAAGTTAATTGACATGTTTGATTTATTTAGTAAACTTTGTTTTTTAATTTAGTTTTTCAGAATTACTCTTACTCCTCCCAACTAAACTTCACACTGGGGTTACTGAAATGCTTGCTTGCGTTTCAGCTCATTACCAGATGCCCAGCAGAAATGAGAGGGAAGAGAGATGCCTCACTCCTCAGCTAGTAGCTCCAGAAAGTTGTTTTCTAGATTTGCAAGCCCAATGAGGCATTTAAAGTCCTTCCATAACCAGTTGGTTAGTGTTGGTGACCACACATCCCCTGCGGATCATCTGGGGGCTCCATTTGCTGCATGACGGCCCCTTCCTCAGCGGCTACTAATGAGGGGCACGACTGATAAAACCTACAGACCCAAAACCTGCGTTTGACTCGGGATAAGAGCCTGCTCACACTGCAAGTTACACAGTAATCCTTAGAGTACAGTGCTCATCACCCATAAAACAGATCGCTCTTGTGTGAAATACTGGCGAAGCAGACCTGTCACCTTTTGGCTCATTAAAAACGGACACTGTAGCCTTTTCACATGATGGTGCAAGACGCTCCTGACAATGAGAAAAGCAGAATTAGATGTGGAGAGAGCTGTATAGCTGCGATGATATCTATTGCAGGATTATAGTAATCCTGCCGTTTTTTCTTTTTTTAACAGTAACTATCATAAAGCAAGAGGTATTATAGAAACCTGTGTTCATGCTTTGAGCAAGGTAACCCTGGTCGAAGACCCTTGTTCATCAATTCAGACTGTATGAAAGGATCAACAGCATCAACATCAACAGGATGAACAGAGTTCAACAACTCAAAATGTCAACCTCTCCATCACAAGCTGGCCTCTCTGACCTTTATGTTACCTTATCCCCTGAAAGATGAGAATAAGGAAGTGCAAGACCCCGCTTGTTAGGTAAAAATTTGTGCTCATTTCACTGTGGGTAGATGGTTTGAGATGGATAAGGATCGATTATGGAGGAGCGTGGAAGAGGAGGATTTGGGTCAGGTTGGACCAATGCTGTCTCTAACTCCAGGAGATTCAGCAGATTACCCAGCGTAGCCTGGATTTAAAGCCAAAATGCGTTTTATAAACGTGTTGACCAAACAAGCATTCCAGAAAAATTTGCTTTTACTTTCGCCTTCCAGAATGTTCAATCTCACAAGCAGCGGAAATGTTTTGTGGCCCACGTCTTGTTGTCTCCCCGAAGACAGTCCCGTCTCTCTAAAGCTCAATGGGTTGAGGGAATTAACACTAAGAGGAAGAGGCATCAGCTTGTCATGTCTGTTGGATTAAGCTGTCTAGATCGGCTTGCCGTGTCTGACAGCTCCCGCTCATTATTCAGAGCTATGCTTGGCAGATATCTTTACGGCAGCCCGACCGGAAACGACATGGCACACAAAGAATATGGTTCAGAGAGCGATGAGGGGTGACTCTTGTGCCCCCACTGCCTTGAGATGCAATGACAGTTATCAGATCTGTTAAAGCAAGAGTTCAGGCATCTACAGTATGTGATTAACTGGGAGTCATGTTAATTCACCTGAAGAAGTGGAAGATTTAGAGGTACTTATGAGTATTTAAATATAGTTTCCCCATTGTATCTGGACCCATGCCTGGGGGCATTACTGCAATTTTATACATCATAATGTCAGTGTAGTCAGTTTTCTACATGAACTTTTCCAAACAGACACCCACACACATGTATGACACAGGTGTCTGGAGGTTTGGGAGATATACATCTAAAGTTACGTACGTATGTGTACAATGATGAATTTCAATTGAATTTGAGAGTGGCCCTTTGATATTGACACTTCTTCAGATCACTGCATCAGTTTTACAAAGAGGAAAGAGTTACCTTGAACGTGGCTTGAATGCTCCTGTCTGACCAATGCTCAATATACTACTCAACAGTATTTGATAAAAGGATAAATAGCAGATATTGGCGGCTGAGTATCAGCCAAAATTACTGACACTGTCTCTGCACTGTTCCCCCAATAAAAAGGGGTTTTGTTCAAAGCCTGAATATGACTTATTTAACTTTTCAGAGACGGTGACTTTTTTTGGGGAGTTCATGTGGCGTAGTTAAAGAGCCATAGCTGTGGTGTCTTGGTGGTTCTGTGAACTTCAATTCTTTGACACAGGACAGCCCGGCCCCTTTCTCGTTTCTGTCTTGGGTCCTACACTAAACTAGGTATTTGGGATCAAAAAGTTATAGATATGTTGCCCGCAACTTTATGATTTTCTGGACACAGAACACACCAATGATGTTGATAAGCATATGACGAATGCTGTTTACTATTAGGTTCATCGAATCCATTTCATCAAGTCCAAACATGCCACTCTTCTGCTGGAACAGTAAAACATAAAACAAACAAGTGTGTAAGAAAATAGTTCAATAGTTCAATAAGAACATAATTCCAGAAAATAGAACATAATTCCAGCAACAGCCCCTTTAAAGGGGTCATGGACGGCCGGCAGACTGTCTGTGTGACTAGCACTAATTAGGGACAGGCTTCATCCAGTTCGGGGACCCGCTAATCCCCACCGTTAGCCAAGATAATTAAGAATAACACCGGAACACATGATTTCAAACAAAATTTCCATGACCAAAGATTTCATGAAATCTCGGTGTATACATAAAAAAGTGAACTGACAATGACAAGTCCAAGGCATACAGTGTTTTTTATGTTTACAATTATCAACTATGGATGAGTGTCGTTTGGGTTTTTCCTAATACCAGTGCTAAAACGATACTTTTAAAACATCCCGATGCCTAAAGAGTGCCTGAACCAATTTTTTTTAACTTCAAATTATGGACAATTTATGAACGGTTAACAGTTTACAATATACGTACAGTCTCTGTAAGAGCTGGAAGTGTATGTATTACTTCATTGGAATTTTGGGAATATTAATCATTTAATTCATGCTCATTTTGCAGGAACTAAAGATATGTACCATATATTAAAAGTATTCATGCTGGATTGACGCTTCTTGTGTGTCTCGATGTATTGACTTCATGATTGCAGTAGGTGTAACATAGAAGAGCTGCATTAGGCACGAGAGCATATATTTTATCTACCGTGTGACAGAATCTATTAATTGTATATTAAGTTGATGCTTTGCTTTGTAAAATAAAGACAAAACGAAAATAATCGGAGCAGCTCGACACCGCTGAAAAGTTTGTGTGCCTGATTGCCGTAATTTAATCCTGGCAAACAGGTTGAATCTCAATCAGGGAGGATGGCAAAGAATGGATATTTTCTACGACCTGTGTGTTGCCGTACCTCGTGGATGAAGTCTCCGATGTCTCCCGGGTGCGGTGCAGCAGAGCGGAGGGGGTACTGGTGGTCATGATGGAGAGGCCTCTCATCCATCCGTCTGATCCCCACCTTGACGCACTCTGGCTCCAGGGCGTCAGGCTGCTGCAGCTGACTCAGGTCGTAGTCCTTAACACAAAACAACTCACTCACATTTTTGGATCGTGGTAAGCAAATCAAGTTCCTTCTGCAGTACCACAAACTTGGGTATCAGTCTCCCTCTCTCATTAACATCTGCTTAGGGAGTCCCTCTCTCACACAAAGCAGCGCGGTGCAGTTAGTGCAGAGGGGGGGTCCCGGCCCCGATCTCTTCACGTTGAACGTTAGTAGTTAGAGTCGTCACAGCAACCACCTTGACAAAATGTTGTGCTGTCTGGTCTCTAGGGAAATTGACTAAAGCAACCTTTTGTAAGACAATAACAACAGCCTAACCTTGGGTTTTGTTCACAATAATGGCTGACCAACGGAACACTTTTCAAAGAGAGAGGCTTACACTACTTTCATTTTATGCGGAAAGAGCCTGAAAGACGTTCATTTCGGAGAGTAAAAGGTATTAGATAAATAGCCTCAATTGTAAATCACAATACTTTACATCTGCGTCACGTGACATGGGACGGCAAAGTGCTGTCGGATTCATATAAATACGTCATCTAAAGCCCTCACAGGCTTCTCACATGCAACCACTTATCAGGTGACGTCAGTTAAGTCCCTGATGGTTTAGGAGGGAGATTGAGGTATATATATATATATATATATATAGGTCTAAATTTAATTCATCAATTAATCAATGTCTTGTGTCTGTAGATGGAAGTTAGAATGTATGTATGCTTTCGTTTCGGTCTCTGGATTTTTTTGACAATGAGAAACATATATTGAATATATCAATATCCTTGAAGTGAATGTTTATGTCTTGTCAGAACGCACATATTATTAATCAAATACAACTCCATACAACTTCTTTTTACAACTTGAGAGGGTTGCCTTCTAGGGTCAAAATATTTTGTTTGCTCAATGGCCAGAGACGGTCACCCAATTTAGTTGCTGTATACGGCATCAATCCAAAAAAGGCAATTTAGAGCTTGGATGACCTAAGTCAGTTTACGTCAGCAATATTGGACCAATTTCAACCAATGTGACTGCTGCAAGAAACCAGCAAAGTTAAATAAGTATTTGTTACAGGTTATGGTAATGTATGCAAGAAGCGAGATAACACTACTGTCAATAAAAGTATGTGTGTGTTTATGATGCTAAAAGTCAGAATGTGCCCTTTATCCAATGCTTGAATCTGTAACCGTAACAAAGGAAGATGACCTTGATTTTTTTAGAATCAGAAGCCGTGGATGAATAGAGAGGTTTGCCTACTGCTGTAGGCACGTGACACTGCTTTCAGATCAGGTGATGCTCAGGTCTACAGCTCATCCAGGGCTGACCTGAAAAGGGGCATCAAAAAGACACTTCAAGAGTGTCTCCAACATCCAACGCATGTGGCAAGGCGTCCAGGCCATCACTGACCACAACCCAACCAACTCTACCCCCAAAGCAGTGACCTCCTCCCCTAACAAGCTGAACAGCTTCAACGCCTGCTTCAAAAAGGACAATCAAGAGGTGGCCATCAAGGCAGACCACCAGCCTCTCACACTCTCCCCCAACTGGCCAAGTGGACGAAGCCCTGTCCCCCCTCCTCTCTGGCTAAAAACATCACCCCTTGTGGCACCCAGTGTCGAACCTCCCAAAAGAAATCCACTATCTTTCTCTGTATGTAGGCTAGAAAACCCAAGGGAGGGTCTAGACAGGTTAAGTGGTGCCACAATTGGGGATGCTATGAGGTTGTTTAAAACCAACACACTTTAAAAGACATCTCAGGGAGCATCCATTTCCATTTGAAAAGTTCTCCCTCTATCTTCTCTGTGACGCCCTCCCACTTCTTTTGGACCATGTCTCTTTGTCCCAGATAAATCCCCAGATATTTACAACAGTCTTTTCTCCACACTAATCTTTGTGAAAGAAATGGGACACCGTCACACCATTTACTGACAGCGAGGGCTTCACTTTTCTTCCAGTTCACCCTTGCTGCTGGTGCTCTGATAAAATCCTCCACAATGATATTTAAAAGGTCTACATCCCTCTGGTCCTTAATAAAAACAATAGCATCATCTGCATAAGCTCATGTTTCTACTAAAACCAGGTAAAACCAAGCCCTCTGGGCTAGTGCCTATTCTGAGGAGAAGGGGTTCCAGGGAGAGTGCATAAAGCATCCCGGACAGAGCACAACCCTGCCGGACAACAGTTTATCTTCAGCACACTCTCAATGTCCCTGTGCAACACTTTGAACTTAGCTATGAAACCAGCGCTGAACCCAATAACCTTCCAGAGGAAGCTGTGCTCAACGCGGTCAAAAGCCTTTTTCTGATCTAGAGAAATCAGACCAGTAATAATACCCAACGAGCTGGAGTCCTCCAAAATAACCCGCACACAGTAGGTCTGGTCCCAATGGATGAGCTGCTCCATAGCTTCCCTCAGCCTGGAGGCAAAGACCCTGGACAGAAGCTTGTAAACCACGCACAGTAGAGACACAGGGAGCCAGTTGCCGATGTCCTGCAGGTTCCCCCTTTTTGGCAGTAAATGGAACCAGGCCAGACTTTCCTTAAAAAGGCCAGACTTTCCTTAAAAACCTCCAGGATGTCCGGTGCAAATATTTGTGGACCTGTTTGTGGACTTTAGCTCTGCCTTCAACACCATCATCCCGTCTCTGCTGCAGGACAAACTCTCCCAGCTGCACGTGCCCGACTCCACCTGCAAGTGAATCACAGACTTCCTGTCTGACAGGAAGCAGCACGTGAAGCTGGGGAAACATGTCTCAGCCTCCAGGACCATCAGCACCGGTTCCCCCCAAGGCTGCGTTCTTTCCCCTCTGCTCTTCCTCAGCCTAAAAACACTCAGAAATATCATAAATATAAAAGGACCTCTATAAAATTCTTATCTAAGGTTAAAACTGAGATGATTAAATGCCAGTATGCGCTTTTTGGCAGAATGTTCCTAACAAAAACATTACACACCAGCAGGGAATGATTTGTGAAAACAGCCGGTACAATGGTACACATAAAAATGATCAAGCCTGGCTGAGGAGAATCTACCTTCTCTAAGGTGGGACCACGTGTACTGCCGGCAGTCTGCATGCATCCTTTTCCACACATCCACCAGGCCGTGAGACTAGACCAGCTGCCTCAGAGCGTGCTGGGAAGCTGGATATGGCTCTGCGTGGTTGCGGTCTGTACACGCGTTTTCTGTACAGTTAAAATCCCCTCCCAAGAATAAAAAAAATCCTCTGAGGCACAGCCATCTAGAAGATCATTAACTTTCTGTAAAACAGCTTCCTCTCTGTACTGTTTGTTGGAGCATACTGTGGCAACCCACGGGCGCAGCACCCTGGACAGAGCCTCAGGATATCTAGACAGGTTGGGCCTCTCTGCCTCCACTCACGTTTAGGCTTCCTAATTTAAAAGTATTCATGATGAATAAAAAAAATTAAAACACAAATAAGAACCAATGAATCAATCAAAACACACATTGGAGCTTTTTTCCTGATCATTGTTAATTGCTCGTTTTGCTTTTTTCAGTTTTTTCAGTCTAAAACCCTCTTGATCTGTGAAGCCAGACTCCTCCCTATGGGTCATGCAGAGTCTGGTTGAGTTTTAAAACCACACCAGGTCTGGGAAAAAGATTTCTCTTATTTTTAACTTTTTGTAAAAACGTTTTTTTATTTGCGCTGCAGAGTAGAGCTTTTCCCTTTGGCTGTGAGTTAGACAGGCACTGTGGATGTCGCTGCTGTCTGACACAGTCCTCATTCTCGCTGCTGTCAGATTGCCCCTGACCCGCACCGGTCTCCTCTTCCTCCCCAACCTTGCAGGCTTTTGCCTCGCTGCCTGTATTTTGCTTCTATTTTTCTTTTTGGTTGCAGCTTTTGGTTCCCCTGCTTCCTCCTCCACCATCTCAACCTCTTCCGCCTGCTCCACCCAACTGTGCCTCTATCGCACCTGGCTCCTATTCCACGCTACCCCCCCCCCCCCCCCCCCACCCTTTTTCATTTCTTCCCCTCCATCCTCAACCATCCGTCTGGCAGACAGCCACCATATGCCCCTCTTCGCCGCAACCGAAACATTTCATCGCCGAGGATGATTCAAAAATCACATACTTATAATCATCTATCTTAACATGGAAGCGGAGGTTGAGCTCCACATTCCGGTCTATATGATGTGTCTGCGGTAAGACACTACGTGCTTCAGCAACTGAGACCTGCATCCAGATCTGAGCTTTTTGATCGGTGACACCAACTTTCCGTGTCTAGAAAGTTCTCTGCTGAGAAATTCGTCGGTGATGAACGGAAGGACGTTTGATAGAACCACCTTTGTGGCCAGTTTTGTCAACATGTCATTAACCGCGAGGCCCTCCTCGACGACGACTGTTCACTTCCCCACCTGGTCCAGAAAAATGACTCCGGCCCTGTTCATCCGAGCGGCCGATTTCACGCTGCTGTGCCCGACTATTTCCCCCACAGCCAGCTTGATGTCCTCTACGCTACACGGAAAGACGGCACTGATCTTGATGCCGTGCTTTTGCGTGAGGTGGGACAGATTTTCGCCATTTACCATGGCGTCCTAGGACGCCGACCGGCAGGAGAAAAAACAGCCAATAAACAAACCAAACTCCTCCAAAAAAGATTAAACCAAACTTAATGTGAAACCAAACTAACTAACCACATTAAAGTAATACACAAACTAGGGAAAAGAACAAAAGTTAAAAAAAAACGCCAGTCGCTCAACATCTCACGACTCACACACACACACACACACACACACTCCCAGCATGCACAGAGAGAGAGAGCCCAGGCCGAGAGGCTTGATGGACAGAAGCGTGATTCTGCTGCCAAAATCCTGAAATCGTATTACCTACAGTAACCCTGTTTTTGTATGTTTGTAACCGGGCAAGTTACAAAGAGCTAACCATGTTTTCCTGCAGAAGTCGAGAGCAGCTTATGTGCCTGGGACCAGCAGATGAGTTGTGTGGAGAGACAGGAAATTGTTCAACAAAAAATTAATCTTGGTTCGCTCCTCTTTTGTTGTACACTTAATCTTAGCCGAGGACAGATGATTGAAAACTGTAGGGAAGCAGAGTGGGTCTGTTTGGCAACGTCATGTGTATAATACTGTGTTTCCGGTATAACATTGATTCCCAAAGTGTTATGCGGGCACCACTGGGGGATGCGAGAGAGGATAAATGTAATGGTGATCTAACGGACTAATAATGAACATTAAGTATATTATAAAGAAAGTATATATATATAAATATATTAGCATGCTGACATATTAAATAAAGTGGGTTTTTACACAAAATAGAGACATAAATCATAAAAATGCCCATTGTAAGATTACAACTTAATGAATAAATGCACTTCAGCTCCTCCTTTTATATACACACTTGCTAACTTCTTTCAGCAACATTCATACAAATATGCTAAACTGTGGAAATCTGAATCAGTTATGATAGAGTGAGCAATTGGGAGGCAATAGAAACTGAGATTTAATACTTGTGCCTCTTACTCGTTACCCTTTCTTCTCTCCCTCGCTGCAGCCTAAGCCCCCTGCGCTGCGTGTGAAATCCTCAGATGGACTCCTCCCTTTTATATTCATATCTGTTTGAGACTATACATGTGCCACTATTTTTTCTTTACATAGTTTTCTGCCTAGATAATATAAAATTCCCCTAACTCTGACAATCAGTCTGTGTGTAATGTGTAGCTTTAAAAAAAATGTAACCACTATTTATGGTTAATTATATATTAAATATAATGCAATCTGCCTCTTAGCCTCTGCCCTCACCATCCTTATTGCTGTTAAAAGGGACGTAGCTGGAATTTATTGAAACATTGCAATGTTTCAAGGCATTTTCACACCTGTAGTTTCTTCATTCCGATTAACACGATACAATGTTAGTTTGTTCAGTTTGTGTTCACACTGCAACATATAACAGCGGACTTAATATTGCAAACAAATACCACGCATGAGCGTGTTCCGTCATTGGCCCAATTTGAAAGCAGCTATAATTAGGCCCTGTTTCTTTTTTGTGTTGGGGATTGGGGGTCCAGGATGTACCCTGTCTATCGCCCGAAGTTGGCTGGGATGGACTCCAGCCCCCCCGCGACCCTGTGTGCAGGATAAGCGGTTTGACAATGGATGGATGGATTGGGGGTGCAATAACCCAGTTGGGATGTAGAAGGGGGTAAATGGCCTAAAAAGTTTAGAAAATGCTGCTGTTAAGATATATTTACGACGGGTGAGTGGGGAGCACGGTCGTCCTCCAATCAGAGGGTTGTCGGTTCGATGCCAGGCCCGGCTAACCCGCATGTCGCATGTGTCCTTGGGCAAGACACTTAACCCAACGTTGCTCCTGTAGCTGCGACTACAGTGCGTGAATGGTAGTTATTGGTGGGCAGGTGTCACTGTGTATGGTTCTCCTGTCATCAGTGTATGAATGGGTGAATGATGTCATGTAGTGTTAAATCGCTTTGAGTGGTCGGAAGACTAGGAAGGCGCTATACAAGTACAGTCCATATATGTGTGGTCGAGTGTAGTCACACTCGATGGGAGTATGGGAGTAAAAAAACGCACATGCAAATCAAAGGGGATTTCTGTTTCTGTCAACCACAAATATCACTAATGTGAAACTACAACGAAAACCAGCAATCGCAGGAAATGTAGCGCCAACGTATGGTCAGCTCAGCTCAGCTCAGATCAGAAATAACACAAAACAATCAAGAGAAAACAAGGCTGTATTGGTGAATAGCTTTTACTTTGTATTACTGTGTGTGCGTGTACCTGATCCTCCTCTCCTCCCCCCTCTTCATCATATTTTAGGATGTTGTCTCGCACGTCGTCCTCTGGGTCGATGAGGAGCTGCTTGGCCTGACGCTCCTTGTCCCTCCTCTTCATCCACATCACAAACAGCAGCACCAGCACTGCGCGATAAGTTCCAACGAAAGAAGATAAAGACAAAGTACTCTTCATTAGTAATGCAAAACTAGGGTCTTTCACCTTGAACAAATTGGTTGTGTTGCCTAAGGGCGACAACGTGTGACGCCTGGAGAAAACCAACTTTACAACCAATAAAGTCTGAACATCTGGAAACCCAGCTCCCTCATTAAGTCATAATGTTTCACATTTTTTAAATACACATTAGGGCTGCATGGTAACTGTATACCAGTATAAGATTTCCGTACGGTATTAATTTCTCACGCACCGTTCATACAAGTGTTAAGCCATAACAACTGACGTTGCTCTTCAGCGGCAGCAGAATTTCTTTCTACACGTTATCACAGCGGTCGGAGCTACTTGTCTTACGTGTGTTGAGATTGAGTCATGCTCACTTTATAACGACAATGAATAACCCACAACAAACACTCTTTAACAGGGTAAAACACCACGACACAACAGCTTGTGACACATAAACAATTTGTAATGCTAATAGTGGTATATTCATAAAAATTACCCTGCCGAACTGCATGCTGGGTACAGCTCACAACAACAAGTAACTCTGTTGCTACATGAAAACACGGAAAAGAGCGATACAGGAGGAACAACGAGAGACCAACACAACTTCACAAGAGAGGAGCTGTGTCTGTTTGGAGGGTTTTTGGTTTTGGAAAATCCGACGTAAGTTACGCTAGATCAGAAAACGATTTATTGCAAAGTTGGTTGAGCTGCTGGTATTTTCTCTGGTGGCAACACTAGCAGCCACAACAAGCTAACACGCTAACTTGCCGGCCAGTTGGAGCGACATGGCCAGTGGGCGGCGAACAGCTGTTTGGGTGGCGGCGGTCCTTTTCGGGGTCAATGAATGAATGTCTTTACTTGAAAACGCAATACTGTCAGATACCGGTGTACCGTCAGAATGATTCTAAATACCGTGATATGGATTTTTGGCCATACCGTGCAGCCCTAATACACATGGCATCTCTCTAGAGCTACAGAACTCTACATTCAAACTCAATCAACTCACAGTTCTTCCAGAAATCTGGTTCACTGTCATTAATGCAAGATTTGTATCACAGCTGCAAAGCCTCCATTATCTCCAGCCTCCTGTAGAAGATTATAGTTCAACAGCAACTGAAATCCCCTCATATGGGACAAAGTATTTTAAGGAGATACAAGAACCCAAAGCTCTTATTTTGCAGACAACTGGTGGGTTTATTAACATGTTGTAAATATTTATCCTTTTGATCAAATTAATTCTGGTGGATTTACAAGACAGGGGAGCTCATGCTGTGTGTGTGTGTGTGTGTTTGTTGTACCTGCAAGAGCCAAACTACCTTAGCACGCAGAGTGAAATCCTAAGTAAAACCACAGAAAGCGATTTGGAAAAAGGCCTGTCACCATTAGTAACATTTCTCAGTAAAACCGACGGTGCCCGACTCCAGAGTTGGCATCATGCCAGAAGCTAGTCAATTTGCCACATAGTGAGCCGAGGGCCGGTAGCTCACTACTTCTGCTGCTCTTCTCTTTCCTCTTCCTGACCCCTACACAAGCTGTACATTATCCCAAATACTCAACATTTCTACACAGCTGCTAATGGTGGTGTCAAATATTTGTGCTGACAGCTCATTAATGAAACATACAGCTTTGTTACTTTTCTGAAAACGTCTGCCCAAGTAAGTCTGTCAAACACTGCCAAAAAAACTGTAGTCGGCTCCAAATTGTTGTACAGCATCTTAAAAATCTGAATGAGGAATTTTGATTATTTGTAGTGCCAAACGTGTTTTCAAGAAGGAATTTACGTAGCCTTGGTGAAATTCATCCGTCAAACCAGAGTTACTAAACTGAATCTTTCCCATCTATGTCACTTTCACTAATAATTCAAATAAAACTTCAACTCCCTTCAGTAGTACTCCTTTTAACACCTTGATTTCAGCTGACAACTTGCCTCAGCATTTACACTCAAAAAGTCACACAATTTCAACAATTATATCTATAAAGAGTCTCGACCATTTCAGCAATTTCTCAGAAACTGATCTTTCAACCAATTTGCAAACACATAAATGTAAAACTTCACAAACACTTCATTAAGCAAATCACGAGTGAAACTTGCTGACATTTGAAATGCAATTCAAGTTCAATTTCAATTACAAACACTCACAAAGACTCATGGGCAGAGCTACAAAGAGATTAAAAGTGTTGATTTTTTTCCCGTTGAATGAAAAACAACACAATGCTTCTGATGGCAGAAAAGTTTGCCATGGCTGTATTAACGCACTCTGGGCCATAATTTTGCTGTCAGGAGCATACCGACAGGGTTTCGGTCATTTTAACTCAGGATAGATGTTTGTTGAGTCAGTGGTGACTTCAATTTGGATCTAATTTTGAGTCAAAAGTTATACTCTGGTTCCACCAAAATGATCATGCAAAAAATGAGCGAGGAACTCCGGGCCGCACCACAGAAAGAATATATAACTTTTATTTTGTCATTTCACTTTTGTTTCTGAAAAACGTTTTTATTTTATTTCACATTTACAATTGTCTACTCCTCGCTGTGCGCGGTTGTTCTGACAACCAGCGGACAGAGAGCGCGCGACTATAACCGCTGTTGTAGCGCTTGTGACACACTGGACATAAAGAATAAAAAATCTAGACTGATTTTGTTGCTGAGATGCTGGAAAATGTCCACCAGGGTGTCATGTAAAATCACTGCTGAGTCATTTGTCCATGGGAAGAGTTGTTTCTATTGTTTTGTCCACCTTCATTTACATTTATAAAAGAGTTTCAGTCCAGTAGGTTCACACTTTACTGAGAAAAGCATGTTCACAGACCCTGCCACTGCAAGTTTTGTATAAATTACTGCAATAAAACAGCTATAATTTATGCATTTATGTTTTGTACGGTTGATTCAATTCAAAGGGTATGTTATATAATGTGTAAAATGTCTTACATTATGTTAGGTCAGCAAAGTGCTACCGAAACAGTATCTATATGAGGCTCACCTAATAGTATGATGATACAGATGAGGATGGCAATGATGGCCCCGGTCCCCAGTCCAGCGGCGATGATTCGCTCCATGTCAACGCAGTCGCCATGATGATCACACTGGCAGACCTTGACTTTCAGGTAGGACGTGTTGGACATGGGAAGGTTGCCGGAGTCTGTGATCATGATGGGAACCTTATAGATCCCACTGGCCAGGGAGCCAATCCTCAGTCTTAGCTGGGCATATTCGCCTGGGGTGTGATGGAAGGGGAGAAAACATGGAGAGAGTGATGGACAAAGATGGTAATCCCTCACTTATAGACTTCATCCACTCCGTTATGCTGGTTGTCGCACACAAAAAAGCCCTTTAACAGTGGAAGCAATGTATTGATGGGTATATTTTATATAGAATCACATGCAGGAACATAAACTTCATACTAAACTTTATTGCCAAGTATGTTGCACATTCATGGGCATAAACCAATTGTGTCCAGGGAAGGAGGGGTTGGCTACAATCCCCTTTGCTTGCTTCAGGGTCCTAGAAGCGAAAAATAGAGATGGTATTGACTTCAAAGCAGGCGTCGACTTGTCTCCAGGAAGGTGTTGAAGATGTCTGAGCATTGGAGACAGCTGATCCGCACGAGGCTTCAGTCCACGAGGTGAGACGGAGTCAGGGCTGGCTGCCTTTCCGGGGTTCAGACATTAGAAGACCCTATTGACGTTTCTCTCCAGTTGTTGTACTGGAAAACTATAACTAAGAAGACGGGTATGTCTGCTAAAAACATTATCTGGTGGGTGGGTGTGCGCTGTGCCTGCTGCACGTTGCCCTGCAGTGACACTTAAACAAACGATTATGTATGAAGCAAACTCACGTGGGGAGTAAAAGGGTTTGCAGTTTATGATGAGTTATTCCAGATTAAGACAGCAGTGCCGCAGGACCACTGTCACATCGCTGCACCAGCGGTTGGTAAAAATCGATACCTCCAACCTTTGCTTTGCCGGACAGATCCGTGTGGCGGTCCCCTCTGAATGGCTGGAAGCCAGTAAGTTGTAGTGCAGTGCCCTGTTTACTCACTGCATATGTAAAGTTGAGTGCACCTTTTGATAAAATGTCCAGTACTTCAACTGAAGAGAACAGAAAAAAGTAGGGTGTAAATCTGCTAGCGTTGTTCCCCTTATGTTTAGGAGCTCTTCTCTGGTGAAACACCATGGCAGCCACCCATTGCGGCATCTTGCGTAACATCACATGACTAAAGTAAGTTACTTTAAGTCAGGAGGATGGGGGAGGTAGCAAAACCGATGGGCCTTCCAAGCCAATGGGTACAAGGAGTGGAGAATGAGAATATCTTTTAAACTAAAACCGGACTGTATATGAATACTCAGGGACCCCCAGGAACATCCCAGTGGGCCTTCCTTTTATTTATAGGGTACAAGTCGAAAGGCGCCAGCACTTACAAACCATACTATATCTTAAAATGTGGTCAATATGAAATCCACACGTATTTGTATTATAGAAGTTGTATGTAAATTAACTTTTTTTCTGAAATAAAACGTAATTATTTGATGAACTCCTGCCTCCTTTCATTCAAGATTAATAGCAAAGCGAACACATTATCCCACACTGACCATTGAGGCGATTCAGCGTCCAGTTGCGGCGTACATCTGATGGACGATTGGCGAGTTCGAAGGCAAAGGGTCCAGCGTTAGGGGTGAGGTCAGGGTCACTGGCTGTGACGTTGATGGCGTTTGGATCTGGCTTCTCACACATTTCCACCTCAGGGGGGAACACGTGAGGTGCATTGTCATTTATGTCCAGCAGGTACATCTGAAGGGTGCCCATCCCGCTGGCAGGAGGGATACCTGGACAGACAAAATGAAGATATTCTTTCTTCTTCTTTCTTTCTATTCTTTCTATATATTGATGATTTCACAATTTTTTAACAGTGAAAATGTACAAAACGTGTCTTTAACTACATATAGCTAAAAGCCTACTTTGGCGATGACATGACCCAACCAACCCTGGCTTTGATATTCTTCCCAAACATTAAAACGCAATGAGTATTACTCAAGTGTAGAGAGTATGCACATCGTTTCTGCACTGCATATTATTAGATTACAAGATTACTTGTGAAATAAGCGCATATCCTTTGGATATGGGGACACTTTGACATGGGGCAGCCCCGGCTGCCGCCTATTTGGATTAATCCGCCTGCTCTGTCTGACTACCCGTGTACCAAACCCCTGCCTAAAGTAAAGACATTGTTTTTTGACCCTGACTACCTTGCCTTGACTCTTTTGAGTCCAGGTCCTTGTGGCCCCAGCTGTAGAGATTAGCTTATCGGCAACCGGCACTGAAACAGGCTTTGGCCTGTTGATGGCTGCTGACTCTGGTCCAAATCTTGGAAGAAGCGGGCCTAAACTGGCCGAGACATTTTGAGAAAAAGAAAATGTTTTGTCTGTCGGGTTGCTAAGGGACAGATTTTTGTTTTTGAGTACAGTGTGCACTGTTCTTGAATCTAAGATGACTGTGGATGGCATCTTAGATGTTGCGGTCTAGTATTTTTTTTATGCTTTTAGAAATTTTTAGCTCTCTGGTTGCAATCACAAGGGAATAACTTTTCAACACTCTACAAGCTTTTACAACTGAGCTCGGGAGAGTATTTAGGCCGCTAGCCACAGTACTTTACCAGTACAGTACAATACCAGGTTTGATCCACAGCGGCCAGTCTTCTCATACCTGCCTGCCACATTGCTAGGCAGAGTCCACCTGTTTACCATGCCGGGATCTTTCTGTCTAGATAGCCAACCTGGGTTGGTCTCTGCTAGCCATCACCGCACCAGGTTGACCTCCATTCTCTGGGCTGGATGGGCCAGAAGGTCGTCAGCCTAACAGGCCGAAAAAACCCCAAAATACCAGCCTGTTAGACTGAGGACCTTGTGGTCCATCTCAATCTTGCCTTTTTGTCAAAAAAACTGCAACTGCAGGTGAAAACCTGGCCAGCAGGTGCCATATCTGCTCTTCGGGATTGTTTTGAGTGTACTGACTGGCACATGTTCAGGGAGGCTGCAACATATGGTGATTCTACCAACTTGGAGGAATACACAGCATCAGTGATCAGCTACATCTGCAAGTGCATCAATAATGTCACTTTCTCCAAGACCGTCACCACACGCTCCAACCAGAAGCCGTGGATGACTTCGGAGCTGCGCACACTGCTGAGGACCCGAGACAGATAAGGCAGCCCTGAGAACAGCTAGGGCCAAACTGTCCCGGGCTATCAGAGAGTTGCACTTTATTAACTGTAACTTTATAACTGTCTGCTACCTCAAAACTGCTTTGCACATAGAACACTATCTCATAGTATGTTATGTATATGTTTTTAGAAACTGTCATCTTTTTGCACTATTGTGTACAATCTTGTATATAGATATTTTATAAAGGTATTATATTTAGTTGTGTAGCCCTGTGTTTGTCCTATGTTGTTTTTATGTAGCACTACGGTCCTGGAGGAATGTTGTCTCGTTTTGCTGTGTCTTGTAATCACTGTATATGGTTGAACGACAATAAAAACCACTTGACTTGACGAAATCCCACCTCATCTCCAAAGATCGGTTCTAGCCATTTCAATCCAGTTTATTTTATTACATATTAAACGAATGATAGTGATAGTGACTTCAGCTCTGCTTTCAACACTATCATCCCGTCTCTGCTGCAGGACAAACTCTCCCAACTGCACGTGCCCGACTCCACCTGCAAGTGGATCACTGACTTCCTGTCTGACAGGAAGCAGCATGTGAAGCTGGGGAAACATGTCTCAGCCTCTCGGACCATCAGCACCGGTTCCCCCCAAGGCTGCGTTCTCTCCCCTCTGCTCTTCTCCCTGTACACCAACAGCTGCACCTCCAGCCACCAGTCCGTCAAACTCCTGAGGTTTGCGGATGACACCACCCTCATTGGACTAATCTCTGGTGGGGACGAGTCCGCCTACAGGTGGGAGTCTGACCATCTGGTGTCGTGGTGCAGCCAGAACAACCTGGAGCTCAACGCTCTAAAGACAGTGGAGATGATTGTGGATTTCCGGCGGAACAGAGCCCCACCCTCCCCCATCACCGTGTGTGACTCCCCCGTCACTATTGTGGATTCCTTTCGTTTCCTGGGCTCCATCATCACCCAGGACCTCAAGTGGGAGCTGAACATCAGCTCCATCACCAAGAAGGCTCAGCAGAGGTTGTTCTTCCTGAGGCAGCTGAAGAAATTCAACCTGCCAAAGACGATGATGGTCCACTTCTACACGGCCATCATCGAGTCCATCCTCTGCTCCTCCATCACCGTCTGGTACGCTGCAGCCACAGCCAAGGACAAGGGCAGGCTGCAGCGTGTCATCCGCTCTGCAGAGAGGGTGATCGGCTGCAATCTGCCGTCCCTGCAGGACCTGTTCGCTTCCAGGTCTCTGAAGCGAGCTAAAAAGATCGCGGCCGACCCCTCCCACCCCGGACAAAAACTGTTTGTGCGCCTTCCATCTGGCAGGAGGCTGAGGTCCATCAGGACTACGACCTCCCGCCACACGAACAGTTTCTTCCCGTCGGCAGTCGGGCTCATCAACAGAGCCCGGTCCCCCACTGCCTGACTATAACACTCCACCGGTCACTCCCCTTCATACTGCACATGCCACTTTAACTGCAATTCGTCACTTTGTCTCTTGTCTGTTACTTGTTTGTTAGTGCACTTTATGCTTAATATTTTTCTTTTTTACTTTTTAATATTTAAATTTTTTTAACTTTATTCTCTTGTTTTATACTAAACCATAGCCTTAGCCTTATTCTACTAACACATTGCATTAGCATTTCATTCCACTTTATTTTATTACTTGTGCACTGTTGTCTTGTCTGTCTACTGTCGCGCACTAATCGCCAAAACAAATTCCTTGTATGTTTGACATATTTTGGCTAATAAATGTTTCCTGATTCCTGATTCCTGAATGACATTACAGTACAGCATAAAATAAAACAAACAGGTGCGACATACAGCGGAGAACTGTGCAGAGGATTTCCTCCACGTGCCAAACAGAAGGGGGATGAGTCGCAAAAAAATCACTGTGCACAGCTAGGCTACTTCCATCTACCCAGTGCGGCACACAGTATGAAGAGCACTACTACTGTGTACCTAAAAGACAGATGTTGACAAAAGGATTGAGAATGGTTAGCAATAATATTTATAGATTTACCATTTATGTTTTGTAAATTGTGAGATGTCACAACTCTTTCTTGTCTCTGTTTCTACCAGGCTGCAACCTCTATATTTTGGCCTGAGTGAAAGGTCGGTACCATTGGTCATGTTTGGCCGTTTGAGTTTAAATGATTTTAGTTTAATATAATTTGACCCCTTTAACAGTGTGCTTTTTACAAATTCACTAACTTTTTGGTCTGTCTTATTTTTTAATAATATAAAATTATTATAATCATAAATTATAATGTTATTACATCTTATTTGGCATTTGTTTGTAGTTGCAGCAACGTCAAATGTTTATTTTAATAACTCAAAATAAAAACAATGTACCTTTCTTTATTTTATCTTTTCTGGACATAAAAACAAAACCTGTGTTTTTTTTTGTGACATACACTGCATGAAAAGTGAGATTTTCGTCCCCGTAAACGCCCGGAAATCTCCCTAATTTCCGACAATTTCTGACAATTTGCAACCAGCGCACGTCGCGTTTGTCTGTGCCACAAATTGTCGGAAACGAACCATGACGTAGGCGGAGAGCTGGCGGAGGTGCGAATGGCCCGAATTAGCATATGAATGCAGCGAAGCCGCGGGTGGCCGAGCGGAGCGGGCTTGAATATCCTTACTTCTTATTGGATGAAACCACAACTTACTAACAAATGAAATCACTCGTGATTGGCAGCAAAACCACACGTGGGCTGACCAGGCTTGAGTTTCCTTGTTCATGATTGGATGAAAACACAACTTTCAATCACTCGTGATTGGTTGGCAGATCTGTCGCTATTGGTCACCCGCCTCATTTTATTTATATATATTTATATATTCATATTATGCTGTATATTCATTTCATGGTTATCCTATGCAGGCTACTACACTATTATTAGGATACCAACCAGGACATCAATGAATTTATAGAGAAAATGAACATTTGCCACATGTTTATGCAAAGAAAAAGCTTTATTAACAACACACAAACAACAACTACATACAAAGTGAGGATCTGCCCACACTTGGGTAACGGCGGTTTGAAAACTACAGCTCAGTAAAGTGTCCGTTTGCCTCCTCGGGGTTGTTGACCGTCACTGGCGCCGTGTTTTCCGAGGCAGGTCTGTTGTGCAGGCGGCTCGTGTGCGTGTGGCGACCGTACAATCCACCCGAGACCCCGCCAACAACGCCGTCCCCTCCGTCCGACGTGAGCTCCACGGTGGCGGAGTTCCACCTCGTCATCAGCCAGCACACTTTGTCTCGATTCCAGCAGCTGTAAAAACAATAATGAATCAGTACTGTGCGATGCGACGCGTACGGACACAACACATCGATCAATGCACTTGAAACAAGTCAGCAAATAAACTCTGACCCGCTTTCTTCTCGCTCGACTCCGCGCTGAACTCCGCAATGAGTGTTCCGGCTGAACCTGAAGCTCCTGCGTCCCGTCTCAAAATACGTCTCACAGGCGTCTGGAAAACAATTAAATGAGTGTGATATGAATACAAAAAAAATCAAAATCAAGTCACAGTAACATTTAACAAGAAAGGAGAAACAGTGTCACTTACACACAATGACGTCGTCTAAATCTGGACTTTTCCCGGAGCAAATACGAGGTCACCGCCTCATTATGAGGCGAGATTAGTCTGTGAAAACAAAATGTACAGTTATGATCGGTATCAATACGTATATATTCCCTTATAGCGCAGAATGAAAGCATATTCTGTAAATCTGACCCTTGCTCCGGTTCGTAGCGCCTGTAATTCGTCTCGGAGTTGTGAAGACGGCGCACCGCTTCCTGTAAACGACACGGCAAAGAAAACACACTTTAATAAAGCTGTTTCTGCTCACTTGTAAGGCTACTAGGCTACTCTTAGCTTAGCTTGAGGCTACGCTACTTTTAGCTTAGCTTGCAGTCATCGAACGTATTCTTACCGCTATCGTGGGATTGTGCGCCCGTCTCCTCTTCTTTGAGTCGGTTCCTCTCCTCCATGGACAGAAACCCGCAGAGTCCCGAATGCTCCAGTGGAGCGAACCGCTCGTTGATATCGGCGGTTTGTTGTTGGAGTTGACGAGACGATCCACTGAGAGCTTTCAGCAGCTTCTTCTCGTCTGTCTGCGGACTGGCCGAAAGTTGGTGACCGCGGAGAGGAGTTGAACGCGAGACGTCGTCCCGCCATTATTCACGAAGCAGCACAAACCAAACAAAGGAACTGGAGATACAGTTCTTCTGAATATAGTAACACACGTGTCTGTTTGTATGCTCGTCTTGCAAGTACTGCTGTATCAGTCATGCTTATGACCTCACACGTGATTGGACGAGGAGTCTAAGGGTCCTCCAATCACATACGAGGTTATTGTTATACGGAAGGACCAGTATTTTAGGAAGACAAATGGTTGGGACTTTGAAACAGCTGATATGCTTTATGTAAAGCAGTGTTTTGGTGTCAGCAGAACGACTTTCCCTAGAAAACTGTACAGTGGTGCCTCTTTCTCCATTCCACCAGACAATCTAGAGTCTGACAGACATGCAATGTTGACAATGTATCATCACATGTACCCTTGTGTCACTGAGGTTGAATGTTTTGCCATGTCATGTAAACGGGTAACATATATGAATGTAACTTACTCAATCGATAGATGCAGAGCAGAAAGGTCAGCATATGTTCATGCTAAGTGGTGTGGAAACACAACAGTTTTGAGGAACCCGTCCTTGACCCTCTAGCAGAACTACGACCAGCCATTATAAAGCAGTTTATAGTTGTTAATGTTGTGTCAAGGGGTACGGCATTGAAACATGTTCTTGCACAAGTTTCCTGGCTTCATCTCCACCCGGACAGACATTTTTATGGAAATCCAATAGAAATTTGGGGCTTGCAGGGAACAGACACGTCATACCCAGCATCATTTCTGCCAGTTGAGCGCATTGCTAGAAGATGTGTGGTTAATACATCCTCTGTGCATTTAAGTAAGACCAAAGAAAAGGTCACTGTAGTCCTGCCACTATGCACTGTAGTTGAGCTCTAGAAGACTGATCTCTGCAGACCCCTCATGCTGATTCAAATGTTGTCTGCATGGAATTTTACCTTGATTAAAACTAATTTTTTAAAGAAGTTATTTTGTGTATCTTTTTTACATAGCATTTGCCATTGCTAATGGCGTACACAGTAATCTAGCATATTTGAATTAAATAAATCAATTCAAGCTAAAATGTAAGAGTCTATAATTAGGCTACTGAGCCTGATCTATTTGTACCAGAGATTTTCTTACCTTTTAAAAAAATGTCACCTGGGCTAAAACTCCCTCTGCGACCCTGATTTGCATTTGTATAGCTCACAGCATTTTCATTTACATGTCAAAGCCTCCCCTAGAATTAGGAGGAGGGGGGTGATGGGGGTGATGGGGGGACAACTGCCAAGGGAGGCCCACGTCAATTTCTGACAATTTACGGCAGTTTTCGGCGTTGCCCGCAAATTGCCGCAAACCTGAAATTCCACGACAATTTACAGTGCCGCATACTGCCGAAAATCCCACTTTTCATGCAGTGATAAAGAATATATTAATTTATACTGAGTCTAGTTGGCAACCCGAACCACGGCGGGTCGGCAACCGGACCCAGGGCCGGGCCACAACGCGGCCCACGCGTTTCTTTTGTATTGCCAGGTTTGGGCCAATGCTGGCCCCGGTTATCTTTGATTATGGCCCAGTGACGGCAGTGTCGTACGCCCGGAATCTGGCCAGTTTATTTGGCCCAATTCTAGGGCGTTGTTTATCCCAAATCTCAGCCGAGTTGGCAAACGTACTCGGCCCGACGTGTTTCTTTCGGGGTGGTGAGCTTAAATCTGGGCCAGGTCATTTTGGCTACCTGGTTAAGAACTCTATTCTAAGCAATAGTAGGCCACGGGTGACAGATGATGACCGCTGAAAAACTAAAGACACGTATTGGCAGAAAAAAAGCAGAAAAAACCTCTACTAGCAAGTACTGTGTCCCAAAGACAATTTTGCAACCATGCAACAATGTAATTTAAATTAAATTAAATTGAAGGTGGACAATACAATTTGTTGTCTACGGGAACAGTCTTCCTCTTTCCAATATGTGAAATAAGAGATTGACTTGAGGCCCAACATGTTGGTCCCTAAAACTAAGGCATTCTTGATTCTATAAGAAAAGGATGTGTGTGACACTAGCAGCATTGTTAGGAGGTTGTGCATCACAGAGTTGGTGATATAATACTGTCTATTACCGCTACAACCGCTCCACGGTAGCCATTTTTCTAAAAACCATCTATCCATCCATCTCTGTTAATACAATTATGATGCCAGTGATGAATGTTCTACTACACAGAATGATTGCTGTTCCAGAAACACCATCTTCACACATTTTCTACAGCTCTGGCTAACCTCAATTATCATTAGAAATGTTGCTAAACTAGCTATCCAACGGTATGTGGCTGTATGAATGATATAGTGCTCATTAGGGCTAAATGTGCAAAAATGAATTTAACGTTAACTTAATCGGTATGATGGTACGTGAAAAATTCATACCGTAATGAAATCTTATACCGGTTGAAACGGTATACTGCACACCCCTACTGTCCATCTCTATGTCAATCAGAGCAGCTGACAAGTTACTCAGTAAACAATCATTAAATCTGGCCGACGACCTTTCTAGAAGCTTTGGATTGTGTGGCAAAGAAGTAGCCTGAAGAGACACAGTACAACTTACAACTGTCATAGTTTCATGAGTAAAGGTATTTTGCACTGCGATCACCGAACGCATTTCTCTTGCAGCCACAATGTAAATATTGGGTATTGAGATCATCCAAGGCTTAAGTGGCAGCCATACCTATGCAACATGTTTCCAGTAGTGAACTATTTTAGCAGGTAGCTTAGCTAAATGCTACATCGCCATATTTAATTTTCTCAGGGAAAAAAATCATTAGAAATTAGTTCATTTCATAATTGTTCAGCAACAAGGACACAGAAGTGACTCTTGGTGTGAAACAGGATACATGTGTCATTGATAATTCATATCAGCAGGTGTAGATCCACTTTTTGCCAACACTCCAAAAAAAATTTCAATGGTGTGCAAACTATCAAAAATGTGATGCGTATACAGCAAGACACTTATGCAGCGCCAGCATCTCACCGTTATCAGATGCCATGAAGGTGACATTGTAGAAGTTGTTCTTGACATAGGGAGACTCTCGGTCAAGAATGGCGATGGTGGAAATGCGACCGTTAACCTGGTCAATCTCCAGCCAGTTAGCAGGGTCATACATCTTGGAGTACCTGGATTCAGAGAGAGAGAGGGAGAGACTTCTTTAGCTGTCTCCTTGGCTTTGGGCCAAGAAGCTACTAGGTAGCTGATTCATGGAGGTTGCAGCACTCTCAAGATGCAACCACAAGTCACTCATTTGTTCTTGCAGGATTCTACCTCTAACAGATCCAAAAATTACCTCAAAATGTGATTGGTCAGTGGAAATGTGTTATACTGTATGTTCTGGGCATGGAAACAAACTAGAAGGAGAATAAGGATTAGCAAATCCCTGTGAGTTGCTGATTCAATATTTATTTTTTATCTGACATAATGTAGTCCAGAATCTGCATAGCTGCCACAGCAGATGGTCATGTATCAACCAGGGCACACAGTCCAGAAATATTGTTAATAAACAGGAAAATAGCACCGCTTCCCACATAGGTGAGCAGAGCTGCCCACAAGCCACCAACAACCTCTCCCTGAATGAGGAATTTGTTATATTTCGAATTGGAGAGATAAGTTGAAATGAGTTGAAATGCATGGCTATTAACATCCCCAACCGCAGAACACAAAGCAACGGAAAAAATGCTCTCCCCGGCCCGCAATGATTGCTCCAAGTTTGTTTCATTTTGTGAACACAGAGTGCATCCAGCATTGCTTGTTGCTAGGCTACGAAGACTTCAGCACTACATTTGGAAGCAAATACAGGGTTGTAAAAAGAAAGGAACGAGAACAAAAAGAAGCAGCAGTTGGGCTGACGCTCTAGTGTGTGTGCTGGTGGCTTATAGGTGCTGCAGGAACAAGTCAAGATGTTTGTGGGAAGAAATATACAGCTGTTGTAATGGGAAAATGATATGTAACCCTTTTAAATGCTTCATTTGTATAACCAGTTTATTAGTTGCAAGTGCTTAGATCACAAAGGCCCTGACATACGAACTGCTGTCTCCCACTTGGATTTGATGTTTCCAGCGTCATAGCTGTAGAGATTGAACAAAGTGTTTGTTATGTCTATGACCACCTTTGTTTTAGCATGTTGGGAGAGCAAGGACACGGTCAAAGAACTGACGTGTTTTACATGGATAAGATGTTCCCAGTACCCTGGCTGTAGATACTCAACAAGATGGTCAAAGGTTTCTGTTGACGCCACCGATATCTAAACTTAGGTATAAGAACTGCCTCGATGTGTTGGGGGAAGAAAAGGAGGTTCTTGACAGTCTACTGACCACGTAGCTGTTGTGACCCTTTTTCCCTTGCAAGGAAATAAACGGAGAAAAGACATATTTAACTCAGAGCCTTTGTTTCTTACTTAACGATTGTCTGTGCAAAATCTTCCACCACACTGTCATTAAAGCTTTTTAGCTGGAATTGGTGTTGCGACTGAGAAATACAGGCTGCCCTCGCTAATTGAGAAGGCAACAAATTCTCCCTGCTCAGAAAATACAATTGTGCTGTTACCAAGGGAAAATATTAATAGAGCAGAATACTAATCAGACTGACCACTTCTGTAAAAAACGGACAATGCAACATCACACTCGCTTGATGCGGTTGCAGTGATCAAGATAGTTTTTTGTCCTGGCATGGAACAGACAGAATTTTACGACAGTGCGACTGTGGGTGAGTGGGGAGCACGGTCGTCCTCCAATCAGAGGGTTGTCGGTTCAATCCCAGGCCCGCATGTCATTGTGTCCTTGGGCAAGACACTTAAACCAACATTGCTCCTGTAGCTGCGACTACAGTGTGTGGATGTTAGTTACTGATGGCAGGTGTCACTGTGTATGGTTCTCCTGTCATCAGTGTATGAATGGGTGTGAATGGGTGAATGATGTCATGTAGTGTTAAAGCGCTTTGAGTGGTCGGAAGACTAGAAAAGCGCTATACAAGTACAGTCCATTTACCATTTTGAGTCACCTGGTTTCGAACAAAGAGGACTCAGGTTTTTATTTCAAGAGAACCACAGTGCGAGGATATCATTGTATCGCCTCCACGGTGGTAATAGAAAAATAAATTCATAGGTGCAAAATTGACCTCTGCATTGCCTTTTCCTTACTTCATAAAGTGATTTCTTTCTCATACACGTACAGATACATAATATATGATAAAAGAGGTGTGTGAAGAGAAATCTTCAGAAGATTTATTAAATAGTAAATATCAATTTCAGCCCTAATGGCCATTGTGCTCTTCATCACTGATGATATTGTAGGTATAAAACATTTTCTCAAACATTTGTTACACACAGGAATTGATGACTAGTAAAGCCGTTGTGACAGCAACATTTTCAAATTTTCTTCTTCTTATTAAGTGAGAGATATATTAACCTCAATTCAACCCAGCTCAACATTTTAAAAGTTAAATTATTTTTATTAATGAGACATACAACGTTAACACATTGAACTCACTATGGTCTCAGTTTCCAACGGGTGTTAGCTTACCGCACAGTTTGTCTCAAGAAGCGGTCGGGATCCTGGGCAGTGAAGGTGGTGAGCAGTGATCCCGCAGGCAGACCCTCCTCCAGTTTGATGGACTTGGGATTTGGGCTAAACTCTGGACTCTCGTTGATGTCCAAGATCCGCACAGAGACGGTTGCCGTGGACTGCCGAGGAAGGTGGACTCCACGGGCCAGCGGGACCTCGTTCTCTGCCTCCACCGTCAGCATGAAGGAACGGGTCAACTCAAAATCTATGGGCTGGACAGGAGAGGGGAGGGAGACAGGATGGTAGTAACATGATACACTGAATGTCCAAAATAATCTACATGTGACCCCTTGGGAACGAGTCACGCTGAATACAATTAGGTGTCTAAGTCCTTTACTAATTATAAAAATATAGTTTGATCTTACAAGAGATATAAATATACAATTAGGAAATGTAAAACAGATAAACATTAGTGGTATGGATCTAGATTTGTTCCAATACAATTTTTGCCCTCCAGATTTCATCGCGAACCCCTGAACTTTCGGATCAGTCCAATATTGAGTACTGCTTCCATAATTAGTTACAAAAAACAATTTGAACCTCCAAAACATGAAGCCGGGAAGCATCATAAGCATATTAGGGCCGCAGCAACAAATCTGTAAAATCAATCAAATTTGATTATTAGAAGAGTTGGAAACAAATTTAATTATTGATTTGTTGTCTCGCCTATCTAATACGGCACTGAATAAGTCACACAATGTTTAAGTATAAAAAATGTTGAGTTGAGCACAGAGCAGATAAAAGAAAAAAGAGAGGAGGTAGAGATAAAACTATTGCAGAGACCCGTAATGTTGTTCTGAAACACATGGCGGAAGCAGAGAAATCACTACAACCCAAGTCATCTAAGGTGTGAAATGGCAAACTAAATAAATCAAGAAAAGCACACCTTGATCACAGTGAGCAGGCCTTCGTTGGTGGTGTGGTCAGTAGGGATGGAGAAGCGTCCGGTGGGGTCTCCGGTGATGATGCGGTACGCAGCGCTCCAGGCTGAAGTATGAGGCTGGTCTTTATCCGTCACAGTCAGGTTAGCCACGATCACGTTCACCCTGTTCTCATGGACCTCCCCGAAGAACTGCAACGCAGACAAAAAGACCGAGTTTATATCCATGTTCTAACAATTCACAATAACAATACATTTTACTTGTTTAGATTTTGTTTTCTTTTTCCACTCTCACTGTGCTGCCGTAATCCTTCACATTTTCCCGTCGCGGGTTTAATAAAAGATTATTTTATATGACCAACAAAGTCAAAAGTGAAGATTGCTTCCAAGAACCCCTGCTTCTTGCTGTCCAACCTAAACCTATTGCACGGGGTTAAGAAGAATCACTTGGTTTTGGAGCCATAGTGTGACGACTCGAAGAGACTGAAGATTAACTTCCTGTTTTATTTTTGTAACCACGGCACTTCCTGTATCTAGTTTCCCCCCACAGCTGAGTTTAGTTTGTAATCACCCCCACCTGTATTTAAGCCTCAGCTCCCCACTTGTCTGTGTCAGGTTATCTTTTGTCGTTCCTAGAGGTACATGTTTGTTGTTAAATTCCCAGTGCTGTTTTTGTAATCTTGTTTCTACTTTGTTGCCAGGCTCTCTTCCTTTTTGTTTTCTACAAGAGCGTGTGGATTCCGCCTTTGCCTGTGCCCCCTTTGTTTTGCATTAGTTTACTCTCCTAGTAAAAGATTCCAAACCTTGAAAGAATTTTCTGTTGCCTTATTGCTCTGCACCTGAGTCGAAGTCCTGACCCCTCACACATAGCACTCCTCTGTGCATGTGTCTGTTTGTGTGTACCGGTGTGCGGACTTACTGTGTCGGTGGTGAACTCAGGCGGGTTGTCATTGATGTCGGTGATCCTGATGACAGTGCTGGCCGTGTTGGACAGGCCGTAGGTGGGGTTCCCCTCCATATCCGTAGCTTGGATGATCAAGGTGTACTGGGTGACTTTCTGGAAACAGAGAACAAAGTTCTTACCGTAAATTCCGGACTATAGAGCGCACCTGAATATACATATACAGTATGTATATTTGTCCACTGATCTGATCTGTTTATCACATGTCCTCACATTACATAATCTGGGTCCTGTATTTCACGTATGTTAGTCATGCTAATCTGACATGGCAGATTAGCCCACAGCTGCGCACAATGGCGCAGTTAAACAGCGGTAAGGGGGCAGATGGACTGGCAGCCTCCCTTCCTGCTTGTAACTGCTGCAGAGGCAGTACCTCTGCCTGCCTGAAGGGGGCTGTGAGCACACAGGCTCGTTCTGCTATTGTTTTTTTTTTCACGTATTACAAAATGATGGCATAGTTAGCATGTGCTAGCTAAAGCAGTCAAGTAGCAAATGTCAAGTGCACATTATCAGTCTGAAAACATATGGTCTGAATCGGACCGACCAAAGACCCCGAGCAACAATGTCTATTGAGACTGTTGAAACTAAAAGAAGATAAAGAGGACTTCATAGAGATGTTTTTCCAGAAGGATAGGCGAATGGACTTAACGTAATTTAAAAGGTAAAGGTAAGAGCATGCATGCACTGCTGTACATGCCGAAAATAAAAGACCAGCTCTATTTTTAATAATTTAAAAAATATATAAAACCATTTAAGGGGGTTAGGGTTAGGCTGTACGTCAATAATGCCCGTCCGTGACATTATTAGTAAGTAAATAGCTGCCTTTCAGCATAAAAAGTTGTAGCCACCAAAATGTTGTATCGCATTTCAGTAGCAACAGACAAACAACATTGGGAACTTCACGTTTGTTAGCCTAGCACCAGAAGTTAGTTGATGATTAGCAAGGAGATCGACATTAATTTGTGCACCTCATTCATTCATTCATTCATGCTGTTTTTCAGTGATCGCCACGGTCGCGTACAATATTATGTTTTAACTTATTTTGACCACCGCACTGATATCAGGAATCAGGAATCAGGAAATATTTATTGCCAAAATATGTCAAACATACAAGGAATTTGTCTTGGCGGTTGGTGCGTGACAGTAGACAGTGTAACAATAGACAAGACAGCAGTGCACAAGTAATAAAAAAGAGCAAAATGAAATGCTAATGCAATGGGTTAGTAGAATGGGTTAGTATAAAACAAGTTCAAAATTTAAAATATTAAAAAAGTTAAAAAATATTAAGCATAAAGTGCACTAGCGAACAAGTGACGAGTGAAAGTGACATGTGCAGTATGAAGGGGAGTGACCGGTGGAATGTTATAGTCAGACAGTGGGGGACCGGGCTCTGTTGATGAGCCCGACTGCTGACGGGAAGAAACTGTTTGTGTGGCGGGAGGTTCTTAGTCCTGATGGACCTCAGCCTCCTGCCAGATGGAAGGGGCACAAACAGTTTTTGTCCGGGGTGAGAGGGGTCGGCCACGATCTTTTTAGCTCGCTTCAGAGTCCTGGAAGCGAACAAGTCCTGCAGGGACGGCAAATTGCACCCAATCACCCTCTCTGCAGAGCGGATGACACGCTGTAGCCTGCCCTTGTCCTTGGCTGTGGCTGCAGCGGTTGAATTTCTTCAGCTGCCTCAGGAAGAACAACCTCTGCTGAGCCGTCTTTGTGATGGAGCTGATGTTCAGCTCCCACTTGAGGTCCTGGGTGATGATGGAGCCCAGGAAACGGAAGGAATCCACAATAGTGACGGGGGAGTCACACAGGGTGATGGGGGAAGGTGGGGCTCTGTTCCGCCGGAAATCCACAACCATCTCCACTGTCTTTAGCGTTGAGCTCCAGGTTGTTCTGGCTGCACCACGACACCAGATGTTCAGACTCCCACCTGTGACTCATCCTCACCAGAGATCAGTCCAATGAGGGTGGTGTCATCCACAAACTTCAGGAGCTTGACGGACTGGTGACTGGAGGTGCAGCTGTTGGTGTACAGGGAGAAGAGCAGAGGGGAAAGAACGCAGCCTTGGGGGGGAACCGGTGCTGATGGTCCGAGAGGCTGAGACATGTTTCCCCAGCTTCACGTGCTGCTTCCTGTCAGACAGGAAGTCTGTGATACACTTGCAGGTGGAGTCCGGCTCGTGCAGCTGGGAGAGTTTGTTAGCAGAGACGGGATGATGGTGTTGAAGGCAGAGCTGAAGTCCACAAACAGGATCCTGGCGTAGGTTCCTGGGGAGTCCAGATGCTGGAGGATGTAGTGGAGGGCCATGTTGACAGCATCGTCCACAGACCTGTTGGCTCTGTAGGCGAACTGCCGGGGGTCCAGGAGGGGGTCGGTGAGGGACTTCAGGTGGGTCAGGACTAGCCGTTCAAAAGACCTCATGACTACAGAGGTCAGGGCGACAGGCCTGTAGTCATTGAGTCCTGTGATCCTGGGCTTCTTGGGAACAGGGATGATGGTGGAGGCCTTGAAGCAGGCTGGTACGTGGCAGGTCTCCAGGGAGGTGTTGAAGATGTCAGTGAACACCGGAGACAGCTGGTCAGCACAATGCTTCAGGGTGTGAGGGGAGACGGAGCCCGGACCGGCTGCCTTACGGGGATATTGTCTTTTAATGAGCCGGTTAACGTCTCTCTCCAGAATAGAGAGACGCTAAGGTCAATTTAAACAGGTAATATTACATTATGGCTCAATTCAGTACACCCCCTGACTCACTCTCAACCAATCAGAACACTTGATTTCATCTGCCCCGTATAATAAAATATATGCTCAACGGGATATGAAACATAACCAGTAGTCGAAGTGCGAAGAGCCAGTTGAATGGTGAATGTATGCTACTTTGTTGAATTAATACATTTGTGAATGTTACTTTGAAAGAGACAGTGCCTCCCCAGCCACGAAGCTCACCGCACGTCACTGGTTCACGCAGCCGAAAAACGACTGCTGACGGAGAGTCGTCCGTGCTGGAGTTCTTCACATAGCCGTCTCCAACGTCTCACTTTTGATTTATTAATATCAAGTTTACGTGCAGCCGCCCTGTTTTCTTCTCCGGCAGCCATTGGTTGCCCGTAACTTGCACCTGTCTGTCTCGCTTTTGCGTGTTAGCCCCTAAAAAATGATACATTAGCCGCACCATTCCAAGGGTTCAAAGCGTGGGAAAAAAGTAACGCCTTAGAGTCCGGAATTTACAGTATTTGATCAACAGCTGACCCAATAACTCAAACTATGTCAAACTGGGCACAGTTTCAGTATTGGAGCACAAATCGGAGTTGGATGTTAATGTAATTAAAGAAGTGGCACGTCTTATATTACATCTGATGACTTACCATCATGTTTGCTAACCACAGTGTTCAGAGAGTTAAACACTGCTACATTTAACACACCTCCTGCTCTCTTTTTATATACTTAAGCATTTTAATTGGGTGGGGGGGGTTATCGAGGGAAAACAATACTTCATTAGGAAAAAAAACAAAGAAAAGAAAAAAAGGGAAACGGAAACAAAAACAACAAAAGGGTGAGGACCAGTGGCGTGCCGTGGGGAAAATTTCCGAGGAACCCAAGACACAACTTCTAAGCTGTATGTTTTACAGGGGTGGGGGCAGAAAATCGTATGTTGCTATTTCAGTCGGGTCAATTATTTCAGCGCCCAACATCGTTTTACCAGGACTTACACACGCTTGTTATCTAACAAACACTTTGAGCACCACTCTCTGTCTCTCTGTGTGAGTGGAAGGAGTGTTGAGCTTGTGGAACGTGATTGTGAGCGTCTGATAGTCCGTTTGTTATTTTTTGCTGCTAATGTGGTGTACCATGAGTGTTGTGGGGTGCAGGGTTCGTGGTGTTAGTGCACATTAAAGGGGTTTGGGTGATTGTGGGTAGTTTGCGCTACATGCTGACATGACGCTCAAGGAGCTAACGAGGAAGCACGGCTTCAAAATACCGCCGCGCTTCCCGTGCTCGGAGGAATGCGGCCTGGCGGTAGGGGAGATGGTCGGCCACAGCAACGTGAAGTCCGCAGCGCGGATGAACGGGGCTGTGGTCATATTTGTCGGCAGCGTGGAAGACGCAGACCTCGTCATAGAGAACGGGGTCGAGGTGAACGACCACATCTTTCCCGTACTACCGCTCGCAAGATCAGCTGTTAAGATCACAGTGTCAAACGTTCCTCCGTTCGTCAGAGACGAGGTGTTAACTAGGGAACTGTCTCGGTACGGTAAGGTAGTCTCTCGGGTTACCAAGGTGTCCTCCGGATGTAAGTCTCCCCTGTTGAGACACGTGGTGTCTCACAGGAGACAGCTCCTCATGACTCTGAACAACAGCAGCAGGGAGCTTAACGTCATGTTCAGAATCGACGTGGACGGGTTTGATTATGTTGTTTATGCGTCAATTGACGACTTCAGGTGTTTTAACTGTGGAAAAGAGGGACATCAGAATAAAGTATGTCCGGAGAGGACAGGGTCTTGTAAAGACCAGAACCAGCTAGGAACTGAGAAGGGCAGGGTAGACACAGAAGACAGACAGGAGGCACAGGGGGGGACAGGTGAAGTCCAAAAGGCGAGAGAGCAGGTATCAGGTGTAGAGGAGGCGCGAGAGGAGGTGAGGGAGGAGGCGTCGAGCGTGGTCCCAGGGGTGAGGGTGGAGGAGGTGAGGGAAGGGGTTGAGGAGGTGGGGGTGGTGGGGACAGATGCAGCCCGGGTGAATGCTGAAGGGCCAGTGGAGACGGACAGTGGGGGGGACATCGAGGGCTGTGAGGAGCAGCTTAAAGACCCTCAGCTGAAAAGGAAGAAGGGGGGAAAAGGTGGCAAGTTGAAAGCTAAGAAAGCTACAACAAAAGGTCGAGATGCTGACGTATCTGACTCTAGTGAGGAGGGCGACTCCAGGTCCTGCATTGAGGACGACTCTCCTGCTGAAAGTGAGTCCTGTGAAGACGGAGGTAGCAGGAACTCTGGAGTCTACAGTGTGGAGAAAATAAAGTGTTTCCGGAAAACCTCTAAAGGCATAAGAGGTGTTCGAGTAGAGGACTACTTCTCTGACAAAGAGACCTTCCCCGAGTCTGTCAGATCACACATGAGCAGTGCAGGGAGAGGAGGTCTCACTGATTGGGAGGTCTTCAGGCTGCGGAAGCTGATACTGAAGGCCAGAGGAGAAACACACGGACCGCTGGGCTCGGCGGCATGACGTCCTCCTCCGCTCCACCCTGAGATCCTGGACCTGAAGTGGACTCTTCTCGGGCGGGAATCTATCTGGCTGAACGGGAGAGACCTGAGTGGGAGGACGGAGAGGCTGTCCGAGGTGGAGAAACAACGTAGGGGCAGAGACTCCTGACTCCACCGACCGGTTTCTGGCTTGTGGTTGTTTTTTATGCTACGTTATTATTTTTCTAGAGCTGAAGGCCTGAGTATGACCACCATGCAGGCTTTCAATAGTGAACACGGGGACAATGTGAAGAGATGATCTACGTCTTTTTTTTCTTTTTGTACTGTGGCATCATCGTGATGGTTTATTGTACTTTGTGGGGTTTTGTGGAAATAAAGATGCTTGAAAAATCAAAAATCTCTCTCTCTCTCTCTGTCGCACACACACACACACACTCGGCCATCTTAAACATCTCATTAATTTATGCCATTAATTCTCCTCCATTGAAAGTCCGAGAACCTTACTTCCTCTCATTAAGGAGCTATAGTTTTGGTATAGTCTGATTTAATTCGGAGTTGCTGCTGTAAAAGCAGTTTAGTAAGTATAGTTTTGACTAAATACTGCAAATCTCCATCATTGCGCTTAATACTTTCGCTAGCTTACCAAGCTATCACCATAAAACTTCTGTTATTTCATTCAATGACGTTGATGACATACTGTGATTTGATTGGTGTGATGCCAACGACTTCTTGACTTCCCTTGACACTGTTGTGAGCAATCACAGGGGAGCAGTGTCATCACAATAGCCTCACCAGATTGGTTAATTTTTTTTTTTTCATTCGAGGGAGGCCAACTCCGCTTGGCTTCCTCACGGACACAACTGCAACTTGTCTGAGAAAACAGGGTGCGGTACCATGTTTTCAACAATCATTCACCACGTAACATTTAGAGGGGCGCTGTTTTTTACACATCATAAAACGCTCAATAATGAATGAAGAGAGACGAGGACAACACAGAGGGATCAATTAATGATGATTAAACAAGTTATATTCTGAAAAAAGTGAGGAAGCCTGACTTCCCTTGGCCTCTACAAGAAAACGCTTCTGGCAGAGACCAGGGAGGGGAAACACACACCAAACACATAAACCATTACCTATATGAGTGCTACAAAATTTGTGCTGTATTTGTGTTTGGGATATTTGTCTGTCCCAGTCCTGGAATTTTGACGATAATGCCATAGGCAAAATGGACATCTTTATGATTTTTATTCTTGTACGTAAACTCCCTAGGCTTGTTGACCAGTTAGTTAGATCTTCTTAGATTTCATAGTTTACAATGTCGTAGTTTTTTTTATACAGATCACTATCCCTAAGTTTTTAATTGCCGTCTGAGGCCAAAGTATTCTGTCCTTGCCTTCTTTTGGGATGACAGAGATAATAGCTTCGTTCCAGGAGGGTGGATTTGACATTTTCTCGCGTGTCCAATTAAAGGAATTCAGGAGTACTGAGTCGATTCTTTCCGAAAGGCTTTGTACCATTCTGCTGGTAGTCCGTTCCTGGTGTCTTATTGTTTTTTCATCTTTTCATTACAGTATTTAGTTCTTCATTGCGGTCAGGTAGGGATTCTGATGTTTTCTAATTGAGGTTAGGTCTATAGCCTTTAAGAGCTATAATCTTATATTCTCTTTAGATTCCTGCTCTGGTTGTGAATATAAGGTCTTGTAGTATGTCCGGAATAAGGAGTCAATATCATCTAAATTATTTCTTATTTGGCCAGATTGTGGGTGAATTATTTTATATATTGAGTGGGAGATCTGTTTTTTTCCCTATTTAGCAAGTCATTTTGTAGCTTTCTGGCCTGTTTCATAATAGGTCTGCTTTAGAAACCTATATTTTTTGTTTCTTCTTTATACATTTCCAAAATTTGGGGTTTCTTGTAATTTCATAATATGCTTCTTCTAGATCTTTCAAGGTAGTTTTTGTTTAAAAAAATGTCTTTCTCCTATATAGCTGAGCTGACAGATATTATTAACTGCTCTTAAGGTGCCCGTAAGAAATTTGGGCTTTCTTTTACATTGTCGTTAAGATAAAGAAAAGTCTTAATTTGTTGTATTGCTGATTGATTATTAAGTCTCCAGATATTTTCTTTGGTCTACCGTCCAGATGAAGTACTAAACATATTGGAGAGTGATCAGAGAGATCTCTAGTTCCTAAATCCCATTTCCGGATCCTGTGTCTATCATTCTGAAACATAAAAATATAGTCTATTCTTGAGAGAACTGGGTGAGGTGCGGAGTAGAAAGTGTAATATTTTTCTGATGGGTGAAGATCCCGCCAAACGTCAAGTGAGCCCATCTCCTCCATACCTCTTCTCAGCCATTTAGATTGTGGGCACACTTTAAAGTCTTATTATTAGATCTACCCTATTTATTAATTATCGCTGTCTTTTAATGCCATTTTGAATACCTTTAATAGGAAAAACACTATTATTTCCTTGGCAAAAACGAGTAAGCTTAAGACTAGTGCTACAACTAGGAAACACTGCAGACTGGGAAGACATTCATAGGCTGAGAAGCAGCTGCTCCATGTTTAGGGATGAGCCTTACAAAATGACCACCTAACACACACACACACACACACACACACACACACACACACACAGACAAACACACCTCCCTGTCGAGGCCTGCTGCCACGGTGATGATGTCACCCGTCTTGTTGTTAATGGTGAACATGCTGGAGGAGGGGCTTTGGGGATTCTGGGAGAGGATCTTGTATCGCAGCATCCCATTAGCAGTTTTTGGATCGTCCTTATCGACTGCTGTCACAGTCATCACAAAGGACCCTGCAAGCGGAATCCAACACGGATATGTCAGTGGCAAAGGATTCAATACACAAGCATGTTTGTGTGTGTTTGTGGGTTTACCAGGCTTGGATCCCTCAGGTACAGAACCGTTGAAGATGGTGTGCGTGAACTCTGGTCTGTTGTCGTTTTGGTCAATAACGTTGATGACAATGTCGATTGGGTTCTCTACCTGATTCCCATTCAAGTCCACCGCGTGGGCTCGCAACTATACACACACACACAAACACTATCTCAGTCACGCAAAATGTAAAAAGCCATGGGTTAAAAATGTAATGTAAGTCGCTTTGGATAAAAGCGTCAGCTAAACGACCTGTAATGTAATATTTAGTCAAACGGTATCACTGGTACAGACACATATCAATGAGATGGAGTACATGATTTCAGTGGTAGTGACCCCCTTCACTCCTTGTATTTAGACCTGCTGGAGTCAGGCGATCACCAATGCAACAATATTCAGTAGGATTCATCCACTGCAAGCGTTAAATATTTCAAGTTGGACTTGTCTGTTCCTCGTGGTGTGTTGTTACCTACCCTTGCACGTTAGAGCATGAGTGCTACAAAAAACAATATAGTGTAACACATTGTTTGCCTTTGAATTCAGCTCAGATTGGAATATTTAAATCATTAAATCTATTGCAAAAGAGCAGAGCACTGAAAACAAGCTTTGGGATATTCCAGCGATTTATACAGCTTCAATGAACATAATGTCACTTTGGAAATGGGGAATCCTTTTTTGAAACTGTTCCCAGATCTGTCAGGAGACTAAACGTGATTCTATCATCGACATTCGTTTAGTGCAGAAGAATTCACTGTGGTAGACACATGTCGTCTGGTTTATTACAACGGAAAGGACCCAAAATAAATTGCTTTTAGAGATTGGACTGCAAGGAATAGATTAATCGTACTGTATAGCCTCCTGTCGATGAGCTCAAGATCATATTCTTTTCAGCCATTTCTGATTCAATAAGGTGAGCAGTTCAGTGATGATTGGAAGAAAACCGTGAATTATAATGCTTTGCTCAAAGTGAAGTATTTCAACCAATGTTTGTATTGTGACCACTCGTAAAAAGGTTTGCCGCCAGCAGCGGTGACCGTTCTGAAGAATCTCACATGGAAGTTGAAGATGTGCTCTCTGTCCAGAGGCTTGGTGACGGACAGCTGGCCCGAGATTGGGTTGATGATGAAGATGCTGGTAGGAGGCTGGTCAGCCCCAGGGCCTGTCACGCTGTACCGCAGAAGCCGGTTTTTATCCCGGTCCGAGCGGATCTGAGGAATGACAAACGGCGTAGGAAAAGTATCTTAAAAAAGCAGCTGAAACAAGGAAAGTGGTAACTCATTAGTAGTACATGTAGTTGCCTGTTTAAAAATATTATAATATACAAGAGAATCTAAACTGAAATGGATGTGTCTTGTACGTCAGTTGGACTTTAGGTCCCCAGGAAACATTCAGCAAAGGCTTGGGGGTACTGCTATAAGATTACAGAAGTAATCGAAAATAAACTGGGATGTCTGGTGCACCGTTAATATCCCATGGGCTGTCCATATGATTGCAGTGATGCAGGGTGGGGCTCCACACAAACACAACAAAACAGACAGTGGAGGTTGCACCTGTTAACTAAGAATAGTATTTTAGTTGCAATACCGTATTTCAGTGTGTCATTATGTGGGAGGAGTCTGTCCACCTAAATAATGTAAGCTCACTTCTAGAGCTCAAAAAGCTAGTTGCTGGATCATCTTGTTACATACCTGTATACCGTTCACTGAGGTTTGGAATGAAATTCCATTTTCATGTTAAAAATGAGTTGCTACATCGTTGGGTAGACCAAGTATCTGGTCATGTGTGTGTCTCTGCGTCTGTCTACCACTACTATGGACAGATCTGCAGAAAAAAAGACTTGATATTTTGAGTGTTCATTTATGACTAAAACCACAAGAGATCCTTGATCATACAGCTATTCAAACTTCTGGAAATAATATTCTAGTGACTGTTTAATATGGTGAGGATTGTTGACTCCTCACTTATTTGAAGCGGCCAATGGGTAAACGGTTCTCACTCTGATAATCAACAAAAGCTTCTGTTTAGTCTCTTGCTACGGGGTATGACAATTGCATCTTTTTATGTGTGTAAAATGTGTTATGTGTTTTATTGTCATAACTGTCGTTTGCTAATGACAAACAACTGAGCGCTATCTTTAATGGAGCACATTTTCTTATGAGGGTGGAAAGGAGAGCTAGTAAGTGGTTAGAGTCCCGGGTGGTATGTTTGGGGAACAGAGCCAATGGCTCACAGAGTTGATATAGTAAACAGAGGTAAGAGCTAAGTGAAACTGACGGTTTCGTATCAGTGGAGGTTAGCATACACACCTGACATAAACTATCATATGTGGGGGCGATGCTTCATCTACTTCTTTAGTTCATTTAAGTTATATGATCATCCAAAAACAGTGTTTTTTTAATAACTATGCAGTTACGAACTCACACGTTGATCGCCAGGACTACATTCATTATGGATTGTATCAGAATATATGCCTTAGTTTCTATTGCACTTTTCAAACTACGACAAATCTTTCAGAATGACACTTGTGGCGTCTCAACAAGAGAGAAAACATGTCCTTGATTTATACGGCTTCTCAGAGGCAAGACTTCACAAGGCCATTTTTTTATTTGTATTTTTTTTTTGTCTCAAAAAGACCTGGATGGCCTTCTGCTCCCAACACACCACTGACAGGCTTTGTGAGACTAGAGCTCATCCTGTGCAGGCTTTGGGGGTTTTGTGAAGTTTAAATGTAAAGTTGGATCAGACTAAAACCGCTCCGCCTCGCTGTTAACATTTAAAAGCAGGCCGGCGAGATCCTACTTATCTCCTGTTCATTTGATAAGCTTTGTCTTGTTGTGGCCGATCACTACAGTTGATGCTTTAATTCTATCTGCTCTTGTGTGAAGCTCATTGTATTTCCATTGGAATCAGCATTCTTATTTCCGTGCTTTGGGGCTAGTCAGCAAAAAGTCCTCAGAGCTGGTGTACTTGCTTTTGTGAGTGTTGTGTGTGTGTGGCTTACTCTGACTAGTTCCTCTGGGAACTGTCCTCGTGAGTTCTCGGGGACGTTGATGGGTGGAATGACCCAGTCCCTCTTCACCCGCCTTACAGTGCCATCACCCCTGACATCCAAGCTGCGCCATGGAAACAAGATCTCTGGTACCTGCTGAGTCAGCATTGCATCACTGGGCTTCACCTGCAGAGACAGTAAACAAGCATTATGTACTGGGCTAAAGATACACACACATCCACACACAGCTGTGATATAGAGCCAGCCTGGCCGGGTAGGCTGGGTGACTCACTCACTTTTTTCGACTCCATTCCACTGACTTGGATTAATGCTCCCATTATAGCCTGACTGGTAAATGACCACAACCTGTCAGTGTGTGTGTAGTATGCAGCCACAGATCTGCATGTCTGGTCAGTGAGCAGTTACACTGCAGGGTCCACATAGGACAATAAGAAAAAGGAAGAGGTTGTCATTTACTTGGCTCTCTGAGTTCAGTCCCTGACCTTTAGGGGACAGGCTGAGTACCTTCACCACGTTGTATTTCTGTTTGACTCAATTCTATAGGAAGTAGTCATTGTCATCAAATTTCATCTTTTTTGCTGTGAATAAATAATATCTGATGTGGAGCTTTGGAGAGAGCCCCAAAGGAAAGGGTTGATAGTGTTGCCGACATGACTACTTCCATGTTAGATTCAGAACCTTTTTGATCAACTACTGCTACTTTTGAAAAGAATCTGCAACACTATGCTGGGTGGTTGGATTGTTTTAATGCTCGTTTCCCAAGATTTCTGGCACTCCTCCAACAATACAACAAATTGAAGAGGATTTCAGCGGACTACACACAAACAACACACACGTTAATAATAATATTAATAATATTTCTGGTCCATCCCGTGGCTCTACCGTTAAATGCTGGTAAGTCCGAAATATATACAGTACCTTGGTGAAGTATTTACCACCCTTGCAGACTTTTCCACATTGTCATGGTATAACCACGGATTCAAATGTATTTCATTGGGATTTTATGTAATGGACTAACACAAAATATTCCATCATCTCTGAAAGTTTACATGTATTTTAATATTATGTACAAATAAGAATTTAAAGTCATCATCTGGTGTGACCAATCACCTTCACAAGTCACATTTGCAAGTCACATCATTTGAAAATGGGGCCACCTGTCAATTTATCTAATCTCAGTATAGATACACCTGTTCTGTGAAGGCCTCAGTGTTTGTTACATAGCACCCCCCCCTGAAGTTGTAAACCTAGGGTAAACACTGATGTAGAAGAAGGTAATCTGTTGAGATGAGATGAAAATATGTCGCCTGGCCTCATTTGATAATAACCCTGGCTGTGCCTTTCAGTTGCAAATAACTTCCCCTCATGAAGGATCACTGACAGTTTCTTTCACTCTCAGGGATTCTCCGCCTTGCTGACGGTTGAGAGCAGCAAAAGCATCTGCCAGCTGGCTGTTTCTCGGCCGCGTTTTGAGGAACAGCCAATCAAAAGGCCAGCGTCTCGTCTGAATACATGCAGAGGGCCTTATTATCGCAGACGAACATGAAATAAACTAGCAGATTGCTGTTCGACTCACTTTGTCTCTGCAATCAGCGCTTGGCCAACCATAGACGCCTGCTGGGCTGGAAAAGCCGATTTTATATCTGCACATAGTTCATCCAACATTACTAAAACCTCAGGGGGAATAACAGCCAGTCAGGCTCAGCCTGGCTCATGATTCAGCTTGTCAGAGAATTACGTCACACATCACGTCCTCCTCAAACACAGATTCATGTATGTGCTAACGTGGTCAGGTTTTCTATGTGTTAATGAACCCACGATTATTCAAATATATAGTGATTCATGAACATATCTGTGTGCACTTTATATTCACTGCAACCATTAGATGTGTGTGCACCGTATATTCACTACAGACACTAGATGTGTGTGCACCGTATATTCACTACAGACACTGGATGTGTGTGCACTGTATATTCACTACAGACACTGGATGTGTGTGCACTGTATATTCACTACAGACACTGGATGTGTGTGTACTGTATATTTACTAAGATACACTAGATGTTTGTACACTATATATTTACTGCAGCCACTAGATGTGTGTGCACTGTACAGTGCATCCGGAAAGTATTCACAGCGCTTCACTTTTCCCACATTTTGTTATGTTACAGCCTTATTCCAAATGGATTAAATTCATTATTTTCCTCAACATTCTACAGACAACAACCCATAATGACAAGGTGAAAACTGTTTTTTGCAAATTTTTGCAAATCTGTTAAAAATAAAGAACGAAAGCATAACATGTAGATAAGTATTCACAGCCTTTGCCATGACACTCAAACTTTAGCTCAGGGGCATCCTGTTTCCACTGATCATCCTTGAGATGTTTCTACAACTTGATTGGAGTCCACTTGTGCTAAATTCAGTTGATTGGACATGATTGAGAAAGGCACACACCTGTCTATATAAGGTATCAGTCAGGGCCTTAGTCAGGGAGGTGACCAGGAACCCGATGGTCACTCTGACAGAGCTCCAGCGTTGCTCTATGAAGAGAGGAGAACCTTCCAGAAGGACAACCATCTCTGCAGCACGCTACAAATCAGGCCTGTTTGGTAGAGTGGCCAGACGGAAGCCACTAAAGTAAAAAAGCACATGACACCCCGTCTGGAGTTTGCAAAAAAGCACCTGAAGGACTCTCAGACCATGAGAAACAAAAAATTCTCTGGTCTGATGAAACAAAGATTGAACTCTTTGGCCTGAATGCCAAGCGACATGTCTGGAGGAAACCAGGCACTGCTCATCACCTGGCCAATACCATCCCTACAGTGAAGCATGGTGGTGGCAGCATCATGCTGTGGGGATGTTTTTCAGCGGGAGGAACGGGGAGACTAGTCAGGATTGAGGGAAAGATGAATGCAGCAATGTACAGAGACATCCTCGATGAAAACATGCTCCAAAGCGCTCTGGACCTCAGACTGGGGCGACGGTTCATCTTCCAACAGGACAACGACCCGAAGCACACAGCCAAGATAACAGAGGAGTGGCTTCAGCACAACTCTGTGAATTTCCTTGAGTGGCCCAGCCAGAGCCCTGACTTGAACCCGATTGAACATCTCTGGAGAGATCTGAAAATGGCTGTGCACTGACGCTCCCCATCCAACCTGATGGAACTTGAGAGGTTCTGCAAAGAAGAATGGGAGAAACTGCCCAGAAATAGGTGTGCCACGCTTGTGGAATCATACCCAAGAAGACTTGAGGCTGTAATTGCTGCCAAAGGTGCTTCAACAAAGTATTGAGCAAAGGCTGTGAATACTTATGTACATGTTATTGTTGGGGGAGAATTTGTTGAGTTGCATGTTTTGAGTGTCTCAAGAACTCTTATGTGACCTTTCTTGGGAAACTCTGACCTGACCTTGTCCACGATCCAGGTTTCCGAATGAGGCCTGGACAGACTGTATTATGTTCTTCTCCTTTTCCGTCTGTGTCTATCTGTCAAATATGATTGACTAGGTCCCACTAAGAGAGGGTCACGGAGGGTCACGGAGGTTCACAAACGACAACTGGTTACCATTTCTCGAACCTTCAGAGATGTATAAAAGCTCCTGGTCTCCTCTAGAAACGTTGTCAGATCTTCCTGCTCCTTTTGGGGGAAGGAACATTCTGTCCCTTTTCGGCTGAATTGTAGTCATTTGACTTCTCAGGAATCAGGAATCAGGAAACATTTATTAGCCAAAATATGTCAAACATACAAGGAATTTGTCTTGGCGGTTAGTGCGCGACAGTAGACAGATAAGACAACAGTGCACAAGTAATAAAATAAAGTGGGATGAAATGCTAATGCAATGGGTTAGTAGAATAAGGCAAAGGCTATGGGTTAGTATAAAACAAGGGAATAAAGTTAAAACAATTTAAATATTAAAACGTTAGAAAGAAAAATATTAAGCATAAAGTGCACTAACAAACAAGTAACAGACAAGAGACAAAGTGACAAGTGACAAAGTGATGAATTGCAGTTAAAGTGACGTGTGCAATATGAAGGGGAGTGACCGGTGGAGTGTTATAGTCAGGCAGTGGGGGACCGGGCTCTGTTGATGAGCCCGACTGCCGACGGGAAGAAACTGTTCGTGTGGCGGGAGGTCGTAGTCCTGATGGACCTCAGCCTCCTGCCAGATGGAAGGGGCACAAACAGTTTTTGTCCGGGGTGGGAGGGGTCGGCCGCGATCTTTTTAGCTCACTTCAGAGACCTGGAAGCGAACAGGTCCTGCAGGGACGGCAGATTGCAGCCGATCACCCTCTCTGCAGAGCGGATGACACGCTGCAGCCTGCCCTTGTCCTTGGCTGTGGCTGCAGCGTACCAGACGGTGATGGAGGAGCAGAGGATGGACTCGATGATAGCCGTGTAGAAGTGGACCATCATCGTCTTTGGCAGGTTGAGTTTCTTCAGCTGCCTTAGGAAGAACAACCTCTGCTGAGCCTTCTTAGTGATGGAGCTGATGTTCAGCCCCCACTTGAGGTCCTGGGTGATGATGGAGCCCAGGAAACGCAAGGAATCCACAATAGTGACGGGGGAGTCACACAGGGTGATGGGGGAGGGTGGGGCTCTGTTCCGCCGGAAATCCACAACCAGAAAACGAAGCGCACCGAAGCACCGAGGCGGCCATCAACGGCGCCATCTTGGATCAGTGCTTCTGTCTGTGCTTATGGCTTGTGCTGATGATTTATGTATTCTTTCATTCTATCATTTTTCTATATTCTAGTTAGTAACAAATACTTAATCACAAAGCAAGCTCAAGATACTTTTGATTTCTCACAAGGGCTAAATCCACAAATTTCCACCACAAACTTGGCGACGAGGATGGGATGGCTGCGTGATCTGGACTTGACGGACGGACAGAAGGCCATATAGTATAGGTGATTCCTCCCTGAAGGTGAGACCCGGATTGCCAATCCATCCAGTTCAAGAAAAGAAACAAAGAACACGCGGTGAGAGATCAAAATTATTTTAAGGCAGACAGACTCATGACAAAAGGGTTTTAGGCCTATCTCACAACGAGTGTTGTAGGCAGACGTATCTGGGTCACCTGTAGTATTTTCTCGAGTTGCATATCCTGTGTCTCCTGAAAATTCACAGGCCAACTTAAATGCAGTAGACTGAGTGACCAGAGAAAGCAACGGTCACTGACTTGCCTTAGTTATGCATGTGGTATTTCTTTGTTTGTATGCACCTTTATAGGCGCGCACACTCCGGGTATACAGATAACTAAATGGGTAGTGTTCAGAGTAAAGGGGAGACGGGTGATAACCATGAGACTAATATCCTGCCACTATTGTGTAAATTTATGTCAGAGTGTTATCCTGGCAGTTTGAATCAAATACAGAAATGGGTCGAATTGGAGTTTCCTTCAAAGAGAGTTTGAGAATCACTTGGAACAGTTGGAATTGCAACTGAGGGAAAAGGAGAAGAACAATGCAGCTCAGCATGCACGCAGGAAGCAGCAAGCAAACCTTCCTCGGCTTGACAACAGCCCACCAGGAGAGAAGCCAGATTCAACCTCCAACACCAGCCAGACGACCTTTTCACCTACTGTGACCCGCTCGCAGGCTCAACAAAGGCGGGCCTTGCTCAATGAAAAAAAGGCGGAATTGCAAAAATTTGCAAAAAACAGTTTTCACTTTGTCATTATGGGTTGTTGTGTGTAGAATGTTGAGGAAAATAATGAATTTAATCCATTTTAGAATAAGGCTGTAACATAACAAAATGTGGAAAAAGTGAAGCGCTGTGAATACTTTCCGGATGCACTGTATATTCACTGCAGACACTAGATGTGCGTGCCCTATATATTTACTGTAGCCACTTGATGTGTGTGTGTGTTGTATATTTACTAAGAGACACGCACACTCGATTCAGATGGATACACGATGTGTAAATTTGTGGGATATATTGATATATGGCTTTAGGAGTATTCAGCGCCTTTGGACTATCCATCTTAACCTGGGAGTGTGAGAGAGTCACAATGCCTAGCTTTTATTAAAAGCAACATAGTCATTATAAACATAGTCATTACATACAACAACAATAAGTATAATAGAAAGTAATGACCACATTCAGAACTGGAACCACGGATTTGTATTGTTATTTATTAATGTATGTGTAGTGAATGTGACTGCATAATTCACCTTTGTTCTTGTTTTGTTGTACACGCAATTGCGACTGTTCCGGGATCACGGTCCCTTTTAAATGTTTTGTTATGTTGTGACGTAGAGACCCTTGCTTGTGAGGTTACAGGGCTGCGCCATCTTGAGAGTTGGTTGTTTTGGTAAAAATAAACGAGACACACACTGCTGTTCTTAACTCACGGAATTGCCTTTCATTCCAAACGCAACTTCCACATATGTATATATAGATTAATAAAAAATAAAATAAAGGTGCAAGCAGCGATGAACAGGCCTTTGCCTCCCCTTCCATGTCGGGGGGTGGGGGGGGGCAGCCGGTCGCCGTCCGGCTACCGACCGGAAGACAAAAGACAAAAGACAAAAAAATGGTGGTGGTGGGTGTGGGATTCGAACACGAGACTGTCGCATCATAAAGGGAAAATCTTACCACTAGGCTACTGGCCTTGCTGTTCATAAATGCTTCTACCAACTTCATTCATTATTCTCAAGCCTACTCTGCTGATATGGGGGAGAAATCTGCACACCTGGATCAAAGCAGTTGCTGGGGCTGCTTTATGAATACGTGTAGGGGGCGCTATAGAGCCAAAAAGATATTTGGAAGCATTGAAATCATATGAAGTAACTACATCTTTAACTGTAAATGTGTTTTCCACCAAAATGTGTAGTGGCAGTGACAAAGTCCCAGTGAGGAGTTTTTCAAATTTAGCGTCTAGAAAGTGCAAAAAATGGAGGGAATATTCACACAAAAGAAAATTATGACTTCCTGTTTATTTTAGAGCGTGGTCCCAGGATACTTTATTTTAAGTCTCCCTGTTATACATATGTCCAAAAATGGACATATGCCTACAGTCATATACCGGGATACCGCCAGAATCTTTCTAAATAGCATGATATGGATTTTTGGCCACACCGCCTAGCTCTAGTTCCACTAAAATTTAATTTTACAGCATGGTCCCAAGACCATTTTAAGTCTCCCTGTTGTACATATGTCCAAAAATCATCATACATGTAGGTCAAACGGCGCTGGGGCTACTTAGTTGAAAACTGCCAGGGGGCGTTATGGAGGCAATTTACCACTTTTGAGCCAACACATGCGCTCTGTAATATCATTAATTAGGACACTTGACATACATTTATGAGTTTGAGTTTGCCAAGTCACCGAAATATCTCCTTGAACCTTCATGCGAAGACCGCATTCTCATGGTAAGTTTTTCAAAAACTCCCAAAATTCACCATGAACAATCAAGTCAGGTCTTAAGGCTGTAAAACCTTTGCATTTCCCTTCGCCAATAGGTGGCGCTATACTTTTTTGCATTTTTAAGAAAATCAACCAAAATGGATGCCGGGCCTCGGCCGGGTAGTTGCACGAAAACGAAGTCTTTTGACTACACAGGTTATCAGGATCAATTTGACCGAACTTGAAATTGATCGGATAGATCAGGAGTTTGTTCATTTATGAATCCAAAATCCGATGGGAATTAAAAAAAACAAGCAAATATTCAGCAATTGACTGCTGCGCCCCCTAATGTTCAAATGTTTAAAAAAAATGAGGTATCTTCAGGGACCCAACATATCCTAGTGATTTGATGACGACATGGCAACTGCTTTTAAAGTTATAGGTCTTTAACTATTAGAATCACACCCCTTACAAACTTCATTGGTTCTCAACTTTGATAAATGACTTTAGATGACTTTGAGCCAATAGTCATTCCCTGAAAACTGAGAATTGGATCCAGCGAGTTTGCAAAAACGTGCAAAATCTAGTTAGACGCTGTGGTGGCGGGGTGTGGTTAGCTCAGCTGCAGGGGGGAGAGCGGGGGAGTGGTTCAGGGGACGGTGCCGGCAGGTGAGTAAGGAGCACAGGTAGAAGTGATGAGGACTGATTGTGTATCTCTTGAAAAGCAGTGAGCAGGACCTGGAGAGGGAGACTTGGCAGCAGACGCTCAGGGGCAAGGCCGAGGAGTGGAGCCGAGGAAGACAACCAACTGAAACCTACTCACTGCGAGAAAATAAAATAAAACCTATTGCCCAGAAGAACCGTGTGTCCGTAAAGCGAACCCCGAAGGTGGTACCTCGAGCCTGCTACAGACGCATTTGCATACCATGATTGAATTATTTTGTAGAGCATATCCAAGAGCACCGGTGTGCAAAATAAAGTTAATTGGTGAACCTGGGCAAAAATCTCCACAGAGGGAGCACTTCCAGGGGGCGCTAGAGAGCCATTTTTTTATCCCGAAATGCGCAACCCCTAAAATATCAATTTTTTACACTTCTGAGGCGTACACCCAAATTCAAGGGTTTTTGAATATGATAAAGGCTTCAAAAGTGCGATTGAAGTGGCAAAATAATAAGTCTTTGAAACACAATAGGGCTTCGCCCAATTTTCAGTCGGCTCAGGCCCAATTATTAATTTAATCCACAGTATAAAATATATAAAAAGAGTCAAAAGACCATACTATGTGTACCTTGAGAGATCTACTCTGTACAGCTGCTGCTGCTCTACCTGATCAGGTGCCATGCTGTTTCCAGTTGAACGGGCGTAGAGGTGCACTCTGGTCTTCCAGACCTGTTTGGTACGCGGGTCTCTGGCGTACACCACATCCACAGCTTCTTCACTTCCCACCAGAGCGAGGCGACGAAGAGTGTAGACCGCACCCTCCTCACTCACCCTGAAATCAGTAGAGTTGCGAACGCGGAACCATACCTTCCCTCTGCCGCAGTCCGTGAAGCTCACTGAGAGAGAAGAGATGGAGACAGATCAGAACGAGTGGGTTTCAATCCAACAATACCCTGCCTCATGTGTTTTTCATTTATCTGACTAAAACTTGTCGAGATTTAACTCATGTGAGGCTACATTTATGTGAACGGAGTTGCTAGTGATACAAAGACGGTTTTAATATTCACAGCTGTGCCATTAACAATTCAAATTATGGTTTCAATAATTCAACGCATCATGGATGGATCATCGTGCATTCTTTTGTTTCATTCCGAAGAAATTAAAGAAAAGACCGTTTCACAAAGAAATGGCATTGGATGCAGTGGGATTAACATTTCATCAACCTGTGGAGATTCTCTATTGTCTGTCTAGAGTTATGAAGTTGAAGGGTACTGGACTTGCTTTAAGTCTCTTATGGAGCCTGGCCCAACCTTGAGCCACAAAAAATAAAAATAGTATTATCATCAAAAATACATTTTACAAGTAGTCAATATTTCTGTTCTGAAAATATGGAATAAACCCAGTAATATTTGTAAAATAAGATATTTGAGCAAAATATATGCTTTTCCTGCACGTCCTTTTTGCCCGTCTGCATACCTCAGCTGTGCTCTGGCCAGGCCCAAAACAGGCAGGTCTAAGAAGCATTTTAGCCCATTACTGAGCCCTACTCATCATAGGGCTGGCGCCAGTTTGCATTCTCGTCAGGGCTAGTCTTGCGAGGTGGCGTTTTAGCGACATGGCACTGGAAAGGCGAGCAGTAGTCTTCCAAGAAGACCCAACCCGAACTTGGTAAAGTCTCACTCACCCGTTGAGAGTAAAGTTGAGAGAAGAACTTTGGCGGAGAAACTACAAGTAAAGCAACTAGGCCCAGATCCACCTGATATCACAATCAGACAATGGACTGGCGTGAAAGGGAAGCCACACAAGCAGAGCTTTTGTACAGACTGGTTCACACTGAAGGTTTGGCTAGCTGGATGCAGTCATGCTACCGCTGTATTTAGCATCCCATGCTGGCTTTTTAAATCAACAGAGACAGAATCCAAGAATGCCATCATGGAATGCACAGATGCATGATGAAATGTGTGCAGCAGTCACGAGTTTTAGTTTCTAAAGCTGCTTATGGGGACATTTAAGGGTTCTAAAAAGGCTTTTAAATGGTTATAAGCAAAAAGAATTTGATGAAGAAAAAAGTATTTTAAACCTGACATTCTCCTCTTTACTTGTTTCCACCAATCGCAGTGGATCGCAGAAATATCTTTTGGTGCCGGGAGGGGTTGGAGGACTGCAGCACTGCAACTGCATTCCCAGAAAGCATATAGGATCTCTTGTGGATTTCCTGTGGTATGATTTGGGCAGAGGCAGCACACCCAAGCAGAACAAAGCCTACGCCTAAAAGCTCCGGCGACAGCGAGAGGGCAGAGTCTGGCGGAGAAGCTGGAGCTGGACGCGTGTTAAATAAGAGTGTACAAAAAAATCTGTTAAAATGCTACCTGTATCCTCGTCCTTCCACGTTCCCCCAAAGGACCGCACGTTACAGTGGCACCTGGGGGGATGGAAACGGCGGACGACAACCATCAGCAGGGGATGACAGCCCAGCCGATCGTGGCGCTTGGTCGGATGATCGGCGACCTGGCGGCCATTCTGAGGGAGCAGGCGGACACCAACCGGCAGTTCCTGGGGGCGCTCCAGGCCCAGGTGGGGAGACAAGCCCAGGCGTTGGAACAGCTGGCCGCACGGCCCGTGGCTGTGCCGCCGACGCAGGGGCCCGCCGGTCTCACGCTCCACCAAATGTCAGCAGGGGATGACATCCAGGCATTTTTGGAGGCCTTCGAGGCGACAGCGGAGGCGTGCGGCTGGCCGGCGGGGGAGTGGCACCGGGCTTTTGCCTCTACTGGCCGGTGAGGGACAGACCGCAGCCATGGGGCTGCCTCCTGCGGCACGCCGTGAGTACGGCGACGTAAAAAGGGCCGTGGTGGATAGACTGGGGCTGTTGCCGGAGGACCACCGCCGGAGATTCTGCGAGGCCAGGCTGGGCCCTGGAGACCGACCATTCGCGTACGGCCAGCGGCTGAAGGACGCCGCCGCAAGGTGGTTGCAGCCGGACGGCGCAGAAGGGGCCCACGGCGTGATGGCGAAGGTGGTACTGGAGCAGTTCGGGGAGGGGCTCCCGGCCTGGACAGCAGTGTGGGTCCGGTGCCACCGACCAACGATCCTGGAGACGGCCATCACCCTGGCGGAGGACCACCTGCCGGTGCATCCCAGCGGGCAGAGGGACCGGGAGAGTAACCCATACCGCCTCCACGGCTGGCGCCTTTTCCCCCAGTCCCTGACCCACCGACCCCGGGGAACCCAGGCACCCTTCCCAACCCACAGAGAGGTTCTCAAGCGCCGGGGCAGGAGTGTTGGAGGTGCGGGCGGCTCGGTCTCCTCCGGAGAGAGTGTCCGCTGATGGAGGTGGGACAGGTGATCCGAGTTGCCGGCGTTCCGGCACCCTCCCCCGGTCCGGGAGCGACGTACCGCCTTCCAGTAAGAATCCAGGGGGGTACACGCCATTTTCTCCCTTTGAACTTTTGTTTGGCAGGACGCCCGAGTGGGGCTGGACCTGAATAAAGAAAGCTGGGAGGAAGGTCCAAGTCCCTGCAAGAATGAGATCCAGTCCGTCCTGGACCTGCGAGCAAAACTCCACACACTGGGCCGGATGTCACGAGAGAATTTGCTGCAGGCCCAGGAGCGACAACAACGGCTGTACGACAGAGGGCCAGGCTGCGATTCACACCGGGAGAAAAGGTACTTGTATTGCTTCCTTCTTCCAACTCTAAACTCCTAGCCAAGTGTCAAGGGCCCTTTGAGGTCACACGGCAGGTGGAGGACGTCTACTACGAGGTGGTGCGGTCTGACAGGGGTGGGGGTAAACAAATATACCACCTGAACCTCCTGAAAGCCTGGACGGGGGTGGAGTCCGTCTCTACGGTATCGGAAAGGGAGGAGCTGGGGCCGGAGGTTCCAAAAGCAGGTAATCATACCTCGCTCCCTCGAGAGTCTCATCTCTCCGAGAGCCAGAGGGCGGACGTTGCCAGGTTGCAGGAGCGTTTTGCTAATGTGTTCTCTCCCTTGCCAGGCTGGACCAACCTCATAGTGCAGGCCCGCGGACCTTACCAGCCCCTTGACCGACCTGACCCGGAAAGGTGCGTCAGATCCGGTCCAGTGGTCGGAGCAGTGCCAGCAGGCGTTTGAGAAGGTATGGCAGGCTCTCTGTGGGGAACCACACCTTCATAATCATACCTTCATACTTCTCTCTCCCCTTTATTCTGCAGACCGATGCGTCAAACAGGGGGCTGGGGGCCGTTTTGATAATCAAAAATTCTTTTCATGGGCTTAGTTGGGGGTTCGCTGTCTTGTCTTGATTTAAGAGTTAGGTAAGGGGGGGGAAGTAGGATGTGCCGAGCAGGCAGACACGAGTCTGACAGGATGGTTTCAGTTTCTGTCCTGGCTGAGGAATGCAAGGTCTGCGGGTCAACTAGAAGATGTGCCAGCCAAAGGGGGGTTTAGAGACACACCAACACTATTCAACATACACACTCTGTTCGTTGATGTTTACGTTAAGTCAGGAGTCCGGACATTGGATATGACCGGATCTTTAGATGCGGGGGGTGGAAGGTCCTCCTCTACGCCAGTTTAGGGCCAATAGAAATCTTTCCTTCTCTGTCTTTCAAGGGTTATAAAACATGATGTTCTTGCTGATGTTAGTTAGTTGTTCTTCCGGCCTGTGTGCTGCCTGAACTGCTCCTGCCTTTGCAAACGCAGCGCTGATACTTGACCTATGAATGAAAGATGCCAACGCCCAGATCACTCGGTGGTATCTGGCTCTACAGCCTTTTAATTTCAAGGTGGTCCATAGGCCGGGGGCGCAGATGGCTGTGGCCGATTTCCTCTCCCGCTCCTGAAAGGGGGGGGAGTAGGTTCGGCCAGATGGCTCCCCGGCCAAGTCGGGCGGTGGGGTATGTGGTGGCGGGCGTGGTTTGGCTCGGCTGCAGAGGGGACGGAGAAGGGAGTGGTTCGGGGAATGGTGCTGGGGGAGGCATAATCAGCCTCAGCTGATATTAATCAGTGTGTGTTTGTTCTGCCTCTTAAGAAGGAGAGATCCGGCGACAGCGAGAGGGCAGAGTCTGGCCGAGAAGCTGGAGCCGGACAGGGATGCAGCTTGGTTTCTGTCCAACCGCTTCTTCTGATGAGTATGAGAGGATGGACACAAATACTCTGCCGGCTCCACGCAGAAAGAACAAAAGCTAGCTCCAATTCTGTGTCAGTTCAGCAAAGCCTCGGAGAAGCATGTGTGAAGCCCCGCTTCTACTTTCCTCAAAGACATGAGCTGACAGAATCATGACAATTAAACGGTCAGATCTTTTATACAACGGACTTTCTCAAAGCTCTAGAAAGCTCTTCCATTTCTCTGGCCATTTCATTTAAATCACTAATAAATCTTTACTTGATTAACTGCTGAAAGGAATCTTATCTATAACATGCCACACCCAGAGAGACTGACCTTATAAATTATTCAAACTTCGGATCTGAAGTATCTCCTTTTGGCTTTGGATTATGGGATACTTCAATGGATGGTGTGCGTAAATGCTGAGCAATTTTGAAGAAAATGACTTATTGGGGTGTTTTGACTAATGCTGCCACTGCAACATGATGTGTTACAGTTTCTTTGAAAAGTGATCTGTACTAAAATATGTTTTCTTATGTATGTAGAATATGAAGTGCTGACATCACTGTGGACCCACAACATATTCAGCATTTAATTTTCCTTTGAAAATTGTACAAGGCTGTATAACAATTTAGATATAAATCGCTCTTTTGAAATATTTCAACTTTGGCAAAGAACTCGCCCGAAACCCAATCAGCGTTGAGATGCTCCGCTTCGTCATCACCGCCGTCCTGCTGCCACAGCGTGAATACGCTTTATCAAACGGCCGCTCACCGGAGACACGCACACAGCTGAGACTGAACGCCTGTA